CTAAGTTTTAATGAGAAATGAATTATTTCTTTAATGAAGGAAAAAGATCCTAGTGTTCTCAGATTTCTTTCATAAGATGCTAAATAGCTGTAGAAACCTTGTCTAGTATAATTTAAAATAATTGTACTTGAAAATTCTAAATTATGTTTTTAAAAGTGTAATATACATATGTGAACAATTTTTAAAGGTGATGAATTAATATTTTACTGAATACTTAACTTGCACGAGTATATATATCTCATACTGAGAAGTGAAAAAATATGGACATTATCTAACTTTGATGTGGGATATGTTACATCTAAAATAACCTAAACTATTGTGTTGCTATCACGATGATTTAAACTGAATAAACCAGAACATTAAAAGAATACTGATATATACTTAACAACTTTACTAACGCTACCCGTAACCTTTTCGCAATATTTTAATCAAAGTTAAGGAGGTGCTGAATTTGTTTGGGTCTCAGAATGTCAGAAAATTGAAGTTTGTGCAATCATAAACCAATTTGTTTGTATAGTGTCATCAATGCTGTTTCCAGTGTAATAAATATAGCAAATATGCTATAAGACTAATTGCAACACTGCACTGATATTCAATTCAATGTTTATTTGGCTTAAAAAAAGAATGAGTAGCCTGAACTCCAGACCTCTCGCTTCCAAAGCGAGCGTGTAAACCCCTCGATAAGATAAGATAACAGTCTGAAGAATACCATATTCTAAATTAGAGTTTGTAACACTTATTAATTTCGATATATACCTGTTGTTTAACACTGAAGTAAATGATCATCGAGCTGAATTTAAGCATGTATATTTATAAGCATCGGGAACTATTTTTTCGTTACGAAAATTAATTCCCCTGTCATTTGACAATCTTTAGGCAGTTATCTCCTCTTAATTGTTCGGTGTTACTGTACATATGAAGGGAATTTAGCGCGTCAAGCGGTTTTGACTACTTTGGGTATTTCGCTACCATTATTTGTTTGGTCTGACGACCAAAATAAATAAAAACTATTGAGTATAATTGCTTGAAAATTTCAGGGCAGTTAAAGTATTTTGAATATTTTGTACTTTATTTGCAAATTAGCAAAAGTCATGGGATAAATATAATTACTATTAAAATGAAAGTCGTTTTTATGAAACAGACATATTACTGATGTGCGGTGCATGTTCAGCATTCTTGTTCCCTGAAAATGCACAAAATTTGCCGGCTACTAAAAATGGCCTAATTTTTATTTAATTTCTTTTATAAAAGTCTGTTTGTTCAAAAAGAAAATATAAGTAAACGAACACTTAAAACATTGCAACTCGCACCACCTTCAATTAGAACAACCGTTCTTCCTCTTTCTTGGTTTTAAAGTTTCTGGATTTCAAAATGTCTGAAATAATTCCTTAAAACTGCTGCAAATGTCAATGTCCATGCATTTGACTGTTAATTTTTAAACTACTTAGGAACTTTCAGTACATGTATTGCTTTCCAGTAAGTTCACCGCGCCTGTAAAATGTGTTCTTAGAAAAATAAATCGATGCCTACATGAGCAATTCAACAGTTTTTTTAACATTTTTATGGGTAGAATAAATATAAAATCACATTAAAATATAATAATGGCTACAATTATAAAAAAAAAATTATAACAAGAGGGACATGATGGCCCTGAGTCACAACAGAAACAACTGCTTTTCAGTGTAGGAATTTCAAAATATTCTAATATTAAATTTGAGCCTAAAATATGTTTAAACAATAATGTGAAGAAATGCATGACCTGGGGCATTTAAGTTTTAGATTAAACGGGGCTTATCAAATTAATATAAGCAATCTTGATAACTTGATAAAAGACTACCAAAGAATGCTACAAAGTTTGGTGATCATCTATCAATTATTTCAGTAGAAAATGATGTTCGAAGGTTTTTTTCTATCTTAAGCTTTAGTGGCCCCTAAAAGGGCCTAATCAAAATAATATAAGCAAACTTGATAAAAGAGTACCAAAGAATGCTACAGACAAAGTTTGGTGATCATCCATCAATTAGTTCTGAAGTAGAATATGTTTAAAGGTTTTTCTATTTTTAATTTTAGCAGCCCCTAAAAGGGGCTAATCAAATTAATGTGAGCAAACTTAATTAAAGACTACCCAATAATGCTACAGACAAAATTTGGTGATCATCCATCAATTGGTTCTGAAGCAGATGTTTACAGGTTTTCTTTTTTTAGCTTTAGCAGCCGCTAAAAAAGACCAATCAACTTAATGTGAGCAAACTTGATAAAACATTACCCAAAAATGCTACAGACAAAGGTGATCATCCATCCATTAGTTCTGTAGAAATAGACATTAAGAGGTATTTCTATTTCTAGCTTAAGCAGGCCCCTTCTTTTAAGCGGCCTCTAAGCGGTGATCATCCATCAATTAGTTCTGAAGTAGAATATGTTTAAAGGTTTTTCTATTTTTAATTTTAGCAGCCCCTAAAAGGGGCCAATCAAATTAATATGAGCAAACTTGGTAAAAAACTATCCAAGAATGCTACAGACAAAGTTAAGTGATCATCCATCCATTAGTTCTCTAGAAATAGACATTTAACAGTTTTTTTCTATTTTTAGCTTAAGTGGCCCCTATAAGGGGCAAATCAAATTAATATGAGCAAACTTGATAAAACACTACCCGAGAATGCTACCGACAAAGTCTGGTGGTCATCCATCAATACGTTCTGTAGGAGAAGACATTAAAAGGCTGTTTTTTTTAACCCTAGAGCACCAAAAAGGGGCCAATAAAAATAATATTAGCAAACTTGATAAAAGACTACCTAAGAATGCTACAGACAAAAGTTGGTGATCATCCATCAATTAGTTCTGTAGAAATTGACGTTTAAAGGTTTTTCTATTTTTAGCTTTAAGGGCCCCTAAAAGGGACCAATTAAATTAATATGAGCAAACTTGATAAAGAATACCTTAGAATGCTAAAGACAAAGTTAAGTGATCATCCATCCATTAGTTTTAGAAGAAGATGTCTTAAGGTTTTTCTATTTTTAGATAAAGGGGCCAATCAAATTAATAAAATGTTATCAGTGGTCCTCGTAAAAAAACTTCCCCGTGATAATTTTACTTGCTGTCATAGGATGAATGGTAGCAAATTATTTTTGCCTTTTATTCAGGACCCCTTGTGTTGACAAGTCATTTATTATATAATTAAGCGCAGTGTGGCCTCAAAGATTTCGCATTTTCTCGATAACAACATCAACGTCAAGAAGCCCCATTTTTGCATTCCACTACACATATGAGCAAACTTGACAAAAGACTATTTTAGAATGCTACAGTCAAATGGTGGTGACATCCATCAATTAGTGCTGTAGAAGAAGACATTTAAAGGTATTTCTATTTTAAGCTATAGCAGCCCCTAAAAGGGGCCAATCAAATTAATATGAGCAAACTTGATAAAAGACTACCCAAGAATGCTACAGACAAAGTTTGGTGATCATCCATCAATAAGTTCTGTACAAAAAGATGTCTAAAGGTTTTTCTATTTTTAACCATCAAAATAATATTAGCAAACTTGATAAAAGACTAACTGAGAATGCAAAAAACAAAGTTTGGTGATCATACATCGATTAGTTCTGTAGACATTTAAAGTTTTAGCTTTAGCGGCCCCTAAAAGGGGCCAATCAAATTCATATGAGAAAACTTGATAAAACCTTACCCAAGAATGCTACAGACAAAGTTAAGTGATCATCCATCAATTCGTTCTGTAGAAGAAGATGTTTTAAGGGTTTTCTATTTTAAGCCCTAGAGACCCCTTACAGGGGCCTATCACATTAATATGAGCAAACTTGATAAAAGACTACCCACAAATGCTACAGACAAAGTTTGGCGATCATCCATCAATTTGTTCTGTAGAAGATGTTTAAAGGTTTTTCTAATTTTAGCTCTGCTGACCCCTAAAAGGGGCCAATTGAAATGGCATGAGCAAATTCAAGTGTGACTTCACAAGGATGCTACAGACCAAATTTAAAGTAAATCTGTCCAGCTGTTTCAGAGAAGAAAGCGATTGTTGACGCATGACGACGGACGCCGGAGTATCCACCTTTGATACTAATAGCTCACCCTGAGCCTTCGGCTCTGGTGAGCTAAAAAATACCACAAGCACAACAATAATGTTGTGCTGAATGATCTTCCAAGATCAGAAATGTAACATCCCTGATTGAATGTACGTGGCGATTTTAGCCTCCAAAAGGCACAGAATCTTTACCACTGAAAAAGGTAATACACGTATATCATGTATATGACACAAGTCCTAAAAATTGAAGTTTACATACATATTTTGTTGATAGCGGGAACAACTGAATAGGTACGCACCTAACTGACTAATTATTGATAGATGTAAAGTAGATTAGTTTTATTATTAGACATACAAGTTTAATTTGAATACATTTCCCTTTATTGTTAATCTCGCATTCCTAACCTTTGTCACTATTATGAACATGTAAATGATCTTTTTTCTTTTCATTCGAAACCCTTTATCTTGAATGTTGCCGATTGGTGGATCTCCCAAACCCATTGTTGTCAATAGCTGTGATGATTCAATGTAAGTATACAAATAGATTATAAATGGTTGTATACATCCTTTACCATTAATTATCATGATATTACATTTATTACCATAAAAACTAACACTTATAATTATAAATCAACATGTTATAATTTACATAAAAAGATGTCTGTTGCACATTTTTTTAGCAAAATAGGCAAGAAATATTGTCAATCATTTATAACTTCACTACAATTACATAACACCACAGATCATATACATCAACATTGTGCACTAAAGTAATTAGAAATTATGACATATCTTACATTATATGTGTATTTTATCATTTCAAAAATGTAAAAAAAATAGGCAACGTACTGTGCTAATGGTAATTTATTATTCACATAACAAAATAGACAATTACAAAACAATACAATGCAATACAACAAAAGAAAAAAAAAGGAAAAAAAAACAAAACATCAAAATCATACACATTTAAAAATCTGTATTTACAAAAATAAAATACAAAAAATCATTATAATTGAAAAAGTAAGGGTGGTTAAACTTACCATAATTATATAATACATTTTTATATAATGTTAATTTTACTGAATATGTTTATACATTTATATCTTTGAATAAAATAAAAAATAAATAAAATTAACAACAAAAAAAGTAATATACAAGAGGACCAAGAGGGCCCTCCATCGCTCACCTGAGAAATAGGTCAGAGGGTAAAATTGGAGCCCCTTTTCACCCCAGAAGCACATTTTGAAAACAACAGACAGCTTAATCTGAAAAATCTTTGTTAACTGTCATCAAGGAAATTTTTGTGTAAAATTATTTCAGAACCAAACCATTGGTTTAGATATTGACATCATATTGCTAAGATGTTCATGTTTTCGGATTTTCGCTCTGGCAGACATTTTATTAAACAGTTCAGCCTATCACTAAGTTAGAGGTGAGCAAATAGACAGAAAAAAGAGAAGGAAAACGAACATTTGACCTGGCTGGGGATTTAACTGAACTGTCGACTTTGATCCCCTGTGGTGGGGCCAATTTTAATTCTAGGAGTTTTATTTCAACAAACATGGTAGACATACACTAGAAGATATTTAATATCAGATATCTAAGCTCTTGCAGTTTTTCACAAAATGATTTTTTAAGTAAGGGAAATCAATGACCCCCTGGGGCGGGGCTAATTTTGACCCTAAGCCATTTGAGCAAAATTGGTAGACATCCACTAGAAGATGTTTCTGGATTGTCACAAGAAGATTTTTTAAGTTTTTGCTTGATACATATACTGGGGCGGGGTTCAATTTTGACCATCAATGTTTCATTTGAACAAACTTGGTAGACATCCACTAGAAGACATCTCATGCCTAATATCTAAGCTCTACCTCTTTTGGATTTTTTAAGTTTTTACTATACCTCTTAAACAATATAAAAACTTCATATTTAAAAGCATTAAAATTATTAATCTCAAAGAACAAACAAGGCAACATAATAGGATTGAGATATGTCACATGGCTGGGATTTTTATGTCCTTCACAATGCACTGAACACACTTAATGTTATGTTAATATGATATTGAGTTCTGACATGGATCATCACAAACTTTCTATGGCTGAATAATTATCAGCTATTGATTGTATTGAACAGTATTAAGAGTACTATGATCTTGCACACAGATGTAAAATACATTAACAAAACACTTGGCTTATTTTTTATACCCAACTTCTTTTGAAAAGAGATTCTCTAAAAATTCAGCCATGAGTGGTTATCATCTCATCACTACAAATGGTTAACACCTCATCAACCAAGGCTTATTAAAGACTGGTTAACAAATCACTGGAACTGGTTAACACATAATTTTTATAACTAGTTGACAGCTTATCTCTATGACTGGTTAGCACCTCATCATAATAACTCATTCACATCAAAACTATAACTGGTTAGCACCTCATTGGCTCAACCCATAGAACTCAATGGCATTTCAAGCATTATGCCCTAAAGTCCATTAGTTATCCGATTTGACTGCAGGTCTTACATAACAATCTGCAGTATTTTTTTTTAAATCCTGTATAAATACTACTGTATAAATAAGTATATCACAAGTCTCAAGTCTTACACAGTATGTCTTATGACAGAATATGACAAACTATCATATAAGCATCAGTTGTAAACACACGAGCTGTCAAATTTGTCTCAGGCTTAAAAATTCCCAGGTCTTTCCCTGTAAAAACCTCTGTGACCCTGTAGCCTTTAGGATTAGACATTCCTATATCTGAGGCTGCTGTACTAATAGGTGTCCCACTACCAAATATCTTAGTGTTGAAGAAAACTATGGCTAAACTTCCTTTTGGTACAATAGGTTTTACCCATAACTCTAGACCATTAATCTAAAATAAATGACAGAATTTAACAAAAATTAAGTTCATTACATGATCATAACATGAGTAATGAAAAGATTTAAGAAATACACATATTTTTGTCTTACTTAGAAAAATACAGGCATAATTTAAAAAAAAAATCATTTGAAATTACATCTCATTTATGAAAATACTGTAAATAAACCACATCCTGGGGCATCTGTGGCCAAGTGGTTCAGGTCGTCAACTTCAAACCACGTGCCCCTCACCACTGTGGGTTCTAATCCCTACAGGGACTTTGGATTCTTTCATGTGAGGAAGCTATCCAGCTGGCTTACGGAACGTTGATGGTTCTACTCAGTTTGTGCCTGAAATAATGCACGGAAAGGCATATGAAGTCTTCCTCTACCAGTAAAGCTGGAACGTTGTCAAATGACCTATACTGTGTCAGTGTTTGCCAGGACAATTTCTAAGAATTTCAGAAACTACTGTACCAGATGGGACCTTATTTTCACTTTATTTATACAAAAATATAATATATATAACCTACAAAATGAATGAAGTTAAGATAAAATTATTTCTATTTTGAAATTAAAAAAATAACACAAATTATCAAATAACCAAATAAATCATCTCTCTCTTGTAACAGATAAACACCCTCTTGTTAGCAATAGATGGTCCATGTACTGTGACTGGGACAGATATACCGGTCATGTTAACAGCAAAAGATTTCAAACACTGTATCATGTCTTTTAGATATGTTAAAATTCATAATATCATTACATATAAATGCATATAAATTGAAACAAATGTCCTTACCACCCATACCCTAGTTGCCATGGCACCTAGGGGATCTTGATCGACACTGATTATGTATTTGTTCAATAAAAGTTCTCGGGCCTCATTCTGAATGTCTCTAAGATCATTTGACATCATAAGAGGTGCAGAAAACATCGCCCACATTGCCAACTGCGCCCTCTGTTGGTAATGACTCATTCCTATACCCCCAACAATAACCTAGAAAATAGTCAGACATAAACTATGCTGTTTGTGGTAAAGGCAATGGAACACATGTATGCCAATTGACATCAGAAAACTGGCACAAAATCAAAGTATTATATAATACAACCATGAATATCAAAAATTCAAGCTAAATTAAAGAATGAGCTTCTTTCTTTGGACATCACTTTTATCAGGCATGGTTGGTATTGGCTGAAAGAGGCGAGGCAAGATTATTTAAAAGACATAAAAACAGAGCTCGAACAATCTGTATCATCATTTGAGCCGCGTCATGACAAAACCAACAAAATGGATTTGCGACCAGCATGGATCCAGACCAGCCTGCTCATCTGCGCCGTCTGATCAGGATCCATGCTATTCAGTATCAGTTTCTCTATTTGGTATAGGGTTGGTTAGCGAACAGCATGGATCCTGATCAGACTGCGTAGACGCTAGGGTGGTCTGGATCCATGCTGGTCGCAAAAACATTATGTTGCTTTTGTCGTGACGCGGCTCAAATAATACAGCTACATGTGCATTAACATGAATATCAAGAATTCAAGCTAAATTAAAGAGTGAGCTTCTTTCTTTTGACATCACTTTTATCAGGCATGGTTGATATTGGCTGAAAGAGGCGAGGCAATATTATTTAAAAGACATAAAAACAGAGCTCGAACAATCTGTATCATCATTTGAGCTGCGTCATTACAAAACCAACATAGTGGATATGTGACCAACCTGGATCCAGACCAGACTGGGCATCCCAGCAGTCTGATCAGGATCCATGCTGTTTGCTAACAAACTCTATAAAAAGTAAAGAAACTGATAGCGAGCAGCATCTATCCTGATCAGACTGCGTGGACTCCCATTATGTTGGTTTTGTCATGGCCCGGTTCATTTCAAGTTTCATAGAGAACTACCTTTCTTAATCAAAGAAATTTAACACAATAAGCTTTTCAAATTTGTACTGTTTAATCATCAATACCTGATCTGGATCAAAGAATCCCCCTGGTCCAGAGTATTTCTGAAACAATGCATTATTGTCACCGTAAAACTTGACAATGTTCTTCACGTACTGGAAATCATCTAAAACATCCCAGTAATTCCTCCAAACATTGCAATACTTCCGTACTGGCCCATAATCTGACTGGAAAAAAAAAAATCTGGACTAAAATCTGACTGAAAATAATGGATTATTGTGTGCATATTTTGGTAATTGTGACAGGTATTGGTTTTATTTAAAACATACTGGATATATTGAGGTCTTATTCTGAGTAATTAGCTTTACAGGTAAAAGAAAAGACCACAGGTGTGCTTCTGTATGTTTGTTTGTTTGTTTAATTTGATTGGGTTTTACGTCACACCAACACATTATAGGTCATATGGCGACATTCCAGCTTTACTGATGGAAGAAGACCTCGGGTACCCTTCCATGCATCATTTCAGTCACAAACAGGCACCTGAGTAGAACCACCGACTTTCCATAAGCTAGCTGGATAGCTTCCTCACATGAAAGAATCCAAAGTCCCTGTTGGGATTCGAACCCACACCAGTGAGGGGCAATTAGTTTGATGTCAACAACCTTAACCAATCGGCCATGGACGCCCTGCGGGTGCTTCTGTACATCATGTCAACACAACCAAACAAAATTAACTATGAAACAAGCATTTAAAAAATATTCAGACATATACATTGTATGAAGAATAATCAGCCTGTTGCAAACAACCTGGAAGCTTAATTGTGCAACACAGATTCCACACACCTTAGTAGGAAAAATACCTGAAGCACTGGTGAAGACATGTGATTTGAGTTTATCTAAACCTTAAATTGTTGAATTAATGTAATGGATCCACCTTTCCTTCGACTTTGCAATAGTCAATCAAAGTTGAAGAAATTTGAAATAAATTAAAATACAACAAGAAGCAGTAACAGATTTCCAAATCCCCGCCAAACAAGAGAAAAGTTCTTTAAAGATGAAAATCTAATGCACACACAAGTTTTAAGTTGACATCTCAAATAGTTTTGGTCGGACAGATAGCGACTATCATCATACACATCCTTTTTCCCGCAGTCACCGCCACAACTCAATTGACAACCGCATAAAACTATGACCACACATAAATAAAAAGGCACGATGATTTGATGAAGGTTGAAGATATAAACTCTTATATCACTATGACTTCATTTGGATTACTCTAATAATAAAAAGTAGTTTTTAACTTTCAAATTGATTTAATCTTTCAATTGAAATTACCAACCAAAACATTAGGGATTAAACATTATCATTTATCTAAGTCAGACTGTGATGTAAGTGTCAGCTTCTTTGAACGACTAGGAGTTAACTTTCTGGTGTCATTTGAGGAAAAATTAGTGCTCAAACCCAGAACCCCTGGGTTGAATGGCAAGCACCTTAACCAGTAAGCCACCACTCTCTTCAATGAGCTATTGTAAATTATGTAGTGTTTATAATATAATATACACAAACCGATAAGTTTTGTTGTAGTTCCCCATAAGGCCATTCACAAGAGAACAAGATAGGACGTCCTGTTTGATTCAGATACATAGACATCGCAGGATATCCTATATAATGATATAATGATATCTAATGATCAATTCTTTGAATTATAAAACATTATTACAAGAGTAAGATTATTCCAAGACATGTACATGAAAACATTATTATACAGAGGATATTTGTTTGTTTTGCATGTAAGATTGAAATATAATTTCACTGAGTGAACACCAGATGCAATACTTTCAAGAGTCAAGAGCCACGAGTGAAAATATAATAGCTGGTGTTCACGAATGAAATATATTTCTATCTTATATGTAAAACAAATAAATTTTCTTTTTATTTCATGCTTTTTAAGTTATTTTAAGTATATTTTACTGATTTTTCCGCGTAACGTCGCGCACTCTCCTTTGTGACGTCATCACATCATGGTGTCACATCATCAATTTTGAAATATAGTTCTGTTAAATTTCTCTAATTTTGTTACATTTTTAACATGATGTATGGTGTCATCGACTTTCTTTTCCTAAAGAAGCAAAATTTACATATGACGGCATTAATTTCTGCCTGTTATTCCATTTAGTTATGATTTTCTTTTCATCCACATTCAGATGTAGTCCGGCTACAGTGAAAATTATATTTTATAAATTTCACTTGTGGTTTATCAGAATATAATCATCTGATATATTACAATAAAACACTGGAAAATTTGAAATAAATAGATATAACTAAACCATCACAATTTGTATCTTTTGTAAATTAGACTGGTTCTATCCTCCAATCTCCTACACAGTGATCTCCCCTTATCAGTTCAGAGATCTCTGCCATCACAAACATTTAAATATCAATATTTTGATATTTTATATTTTTTAGCTTTTTTATTCTACTTTTCATTATTTTGTATACTTTCGATAATTTTTTTGATAAAATATAACAGAGGTAGGTACGAAAAGTTAAAAATAAAACAGAAAGAAAAAAAGAGAAAGATTATCTATGTAACAGTCGATATTTCCATTTGAATTTCGATGTTACATCATGTGACTTTCATCATCATGTGACATCTGTGAAGGCAGTGATTACAATTCTGCCAAGGGAGGTAATCACTGTGAAAAGTTTGACTATCCTCCAGTAGACCAGTCAAGGTCCTTGTAACTGTTAGACTGGTTAAACTTTTAACTATTCTACATAAGACTGTTTCAGGTCCTAGTAGACCAGTTAAGGTTCTTGTTACTATTTCACAATAGACTGGTTAAGGTTTTTGAAACTGTTCTATGGTACATTGGATAAGGTCATTGTAATTGCTCTTAGACAGTGGACTATTTAAACTTGTAACTGTTGTACAGCAGACTTGTTCAGACCCTAAGTAACTATACTACAGTAGATTGCTTAAGATTCAGATAACAATTCTACAGTAGATTTGTTAAGAATCGTGTTACAGTTCAACAGTAGATTGGTTAAGGTTCATGTCACAGTTCAACAGTAGATTAGTTAAGATTTGTGTCACAGTTCACCAGTAGATTGGTTATGGTTAGTGTAACTGTTCAACAGTAGATTGGTTAAGATTCGTGTCACAGTTCAACAGTAGATTGGTTAAGGTTAGTGTAACTGTTCAACAGTAGATTGGTTAAGATTTGTGTCACAGTTCAACAGTAGATTGGTTATGGTTTGTGTAACTGTTCAACAGTAGATTGGTTAAGGTTCGTGTCACAGTTCAACAGTAGATTGGTTAAGATTTGTGTCACAGTTCAACAGTAGATTGGTTAAGATTTGTGTCACAGTTCAACAGTAGATTGGTTAAGATTTGTGTCACAGTTCAACAGTAGATTGGTTAAGATTTGTGTCACAGTTCAACAGTAGATTGGTTATGGTTTGTGTAACTGTTCAACAGTAGATTTGTTAAGATTCAGATAACAATTCTACATAAGATTGGTTAAAATTCATGTCACAGTTCAACAGTAGATTGGTTAAGGTTAGTGTAACTGTTCAACAGTAGATTGGTTAAGATTCGTGTCACAGTTCAACAGTAGATTAGTTAAGATTTATGTTCAACAGTAGATTGGTTCAGATTCAGATAACCATTCTACAGTAGATTGGTTAAGGTTCATGCCATCATTCTACAGTAGGTTGGTTATGCATGTATTTAACAGAAGAATTATTAACAGATTTTCTATCAGCATACAGTGTAGTCAGACTGCACACAAAAAAAAACAGTTGGCATTAACATTTCATGACTTTTATAAATTTGATGATGTAATAAAGGTATGACATCATACCTTCTTTATTGTCATGTGCATCTGAGTGGCAGGTATCAAACTTAAGCAAGTCAACGCCCCACTCAGCAAATGTCTGTGCATCTAGCTGCATGTAAAATTCACTTCCTGGATACCCGGCACAGGTCTTTGTCCCAAAGTCTTCATATATACCCAACTTCAGACCTTTAGAGTGTACCTAAATGTAATTGCAACAAAACTTGTATAAATAATCAGATTAAGAGAAAAGAGAAAGATTAGGGGTGTGGATCGTCGGATAAGTGACGATCCGATCTAAACCAAGATTCAGCACTTACGATTCACAAATCGAACCACAAATCTTTTGTTATCAAGACACCCATAAAAACATGTACATAAGTTATAAAAACATGTTTATTTAAAAACGTTAAACATATAAAATATAAACTAGGTTTATGTTTTTATTCTTTGGTTGAGTATTTATGTTTTGTTTTTTTGAAACCAATTACTTCCTAGCTCAGCATCATGGTACATGGTCTTTAACCGGCAAATTGTATTTAGGTAAACTTCATATAATTTATAAATCGTATTTTTCTCGATTTTATGAGTGTAAGAAACAGTGAATTTATATAAAAAAATAGATCGCGATCCATGATCTCTGGGCTTACGAATATTCAAACTCAATTTTTCACTTTGATTCGTGATTATCCGAGTACTCGGATACTCGCCCCAGCCCTAAGAAAGATGTGGTTTATATTCATAGACCGTCTCTAAAACATATTGTTTTACACTATCATTATTAATATCAGAAAACATTAAACTATAACTGCTTCTTAAGACTTTAAATAGCTTGTTCTTTATCAGAAGTGTCTACTCAGTTTACAACACAGGTTAGACTGTATATATGAATGATTTTAATGAAATAAGAGGTGAGTAACAATATTTGGTCATGTTACATCACCTACATGTATGCTCCATATTTCTACAGCTCATTTTACCAACATGTAAATTGTAAAATATAAAATTTGATCAAAAAATATTTGAATATTATCCATATTTGATTATCAGGTAAGATGATTTTGTCTAACCTCAGATGTTAAAAGGTTCAAGCAACACCAGGAATCAAAACCACCTTACCTTCTGCAGCTTTTTTTTTGGGGGGGGGGGGGGTTACTTCACATTGACACAGTGTAGGTCATATCGCGATGTTCCAGCTTTACTGGTGGAGGAAGACCTCAGGTGCCCTTCCGTGCATTATTTCAGGCACGAACGCGCACCTGAGTAGAACCACAGACGTTCCGTAAGCTAGCTGCATAGCTTCCTAACATGAAAGAATCTAAAGTCCCTGTCGGGATTCGAACCCACAGCGGTGAGGGGCAAGTGATTTGAAGTCAACGACCTTAACCACTTGAGGTACGAGATGCATATACAGTGAGACTCCATTTACTAGAACCCATTTAGTTGCCTCTTACGATTATGCAGGGATAAACAGTGTCTGCAATTTTGATGCCTCAACCCTTAAAGGCAACCCCTCAGCCGCACAGTGGGGAGGGGGAGGGAAGGTAAAATTAAGGTCCTTCGACAAAAAGGCCCTTCTAGATGACTTACATAATCAGCAAGATGCTTGATACCATTAGGGAATCGCTTGGGATCAGGTTGAAGTCGATGATTCTCATCCCTTTCTTTAGCCAGCCAGCAATCATCTATACACACATATTCATAACCAGCATCCTTGTAGCCATCTTGAACCATATGGTCTGCCATTTCCTTAATTAGTTTTTCACTGAGGAAAAAATGGCCAATGCACTAGTATTATAAAATAATCAAAAGAAAATAACCTAGAAGGCTGCTAAACATGGCAAACTGAAAATGTAACAATGTAAGCTAAAATTGGTGAAAAAAGAAACTGGGATCTATACAACTATAAATTTCTGGGCAGAGAAAAGGCTGATATCTGAAGTAATGTTCTGAACAAGGATTTTCTTATTTTAGAGGCAGTATCAGTCATTACTGGATGCTGACATCATTTAATACGTAAACTTCTTTCAGTTTACAGTTCAACTAATTTTAATCAATTTTTATCAGCTAATCAATAAAAGAGAGGTGAAATTCAAAACTGAAAATACTTAAGGTTCTAATACTGCCCCAAGTTGTATTTCACAATTATTAACATTTTAAATAAAAATTAAACAAGAACAAGAAATCAGTTTTGCCCTTTTCAGCAACATGAGTATCAATTCAAAGCTGGTATTTTTAACAAGTACATGTATAATAGTCTGTGGTATTTTTGGATGATGTTTTTATAAACACTGCACTAAAAAAATGTGGAACAAAAACTCATGAGAGCAAAAGTTGAATTTTGTGTGACATATATGTAGTTAATGGCTTATTTTGTAGCCGTTATTGGGTCATATTCCCAACTGAAAATAGTATATTATTTTCCCAATACACAGGCAAAAATTCCAAATTCAAAGTTACAAAATAAAAAATTGAACAAGAAATGTCGAACGACATATATGCCCCCTTTTCTAGCCTTGACTCACATTATTGGTTGTTCTGTTATAGAAACTTGCCATAAATGGGTACATGGAAGTGTTCAGTGATGGAAAAAAAGAAAAATAATGAAGATTTTGTGATAGTTTTCAAGGTAATGAGCGGAAACCATTCTGACATTTAAGGCCTTGATCTTTGAACTAGTGACCAAAAAACAATAGGGGTCATCTAATAGTTATGGCCAATCAATATTAGAAATATGAAAACTTTGTGATAAATAGTTTTTAAGATAATGAGTGCAAACCATACTACCATTCAAGGACCCTGTATAACCTTGACCTTTGACCTAGTGACCCCAAAATCAATAGGGGTCATTCACTAGTTATGACCAATCAGTACATGTATGTGAAATATAAAGACTTTGTGATAAATAGCTTTCAAGATAATGAGCGGAAACCATTGTGATATTTAAGGCCCCTGTGACCTTGACCTTTGAACTAGTGACCCCTAAAGCAATGGGGGGTCATCTACTAGTTATGACCAATCACTATGTGAAATATAAACTTTATAAAGACTTTGTGATAATCAGCTTTCAAGATAATAAGCTGAAATTATACTTCCATTAAAGGACCCTGTAACCTTGACCTTTGACCTAGTGACCCAAAAATAAATAGGGTTTACCTACTAGTTATAACCACTCAATGATTGTTAGTTTTGAGTTTTACGTCACACCAACACAGTATAGGTCATTTGGCGACGTTCCAGCTTCACTGGTGGAGGAAGACCTCAGGTGCCCCTCCGTGCATTTTTTTCAGGCACGAACGGGCAGGGCACCTGAGTAGAACCACCGATGTTCCGTAAGCTAGCTGGACCACTCAATGTGTGAAATATGAAGACTTTGTGATGAATATTATAAGTAACCAAGATAATCAGCATAAATCATACCTCTGTAATCTTGACCTTTGACCTAGCGACCCCAAAATCAATAGGGGTTATCTACAAGTTATGACCAATCAATATGTGAAATATGAAGACTTTGTGATCAATAGTTTTCAAGATAATCAGTGGAAACCGTTCTGACATTTAAGGCCCCTGTGACCTTGACCTTTGACCTAGTGACCACAAAATCAATAGGGGTCATCTACTAGTAATGACCAATTAATACGTGTAATATGAAGACTATGTGATCAATAGTTTTCAAGATAATCAGTGGAAACCATTCTGACATTAAAGGCCCCTGTGACCTTGACCTCTGATCTAGTGACCCCAAAATCAATAGGGGTCATCTAATAGTAATGACCAATTAATACATGAAATATAAAGACTTTTTGATCAATAGTAACCAAGATAATGAGCAGAAACTATTTTGACATTTAAAGTCTCTGTGACCTTGACCTTTGACCTAGTGACCCCAAAATCAATAGGTGTCATCTATAAGTTATTTATGACCAATCACTTTGTGAAATATGAAGACTTTTTGATCAATAGTAACCAAGACAATGAGCGGAAACCATTCTGACATTTAAGGCCCCTGTGACCTTGACCTAGTTACCCCAAATCAATAGGGGTCATCTACTAGTTATGACCAATTATATGTGAAATATGAAGACTTTGTGATCAATAGTAACCAAGAAAATGAGCAGAAACTTTTCTGACATTTAAGGCCCGGTGAACTTGACCTTTGACATCGTGAGCCTAAAATCAATAGGGTTTATCTACTAGTTATAACCACTCAATATGTGAAATATGAAGACTTTCTGATGAATATTATAAGTAACCAAGATAATTAGCATAAATCATACAACCATTCAAGGCCTCTGTAACCTTGACCTTTGACCTAGTGACCACAAAATCAACAAGAGCTGTCCGTAAGACAGCGCGCTCGACTTTTTTAGTGCTTGCCTATAATACAAAACATTGACAGTTAAGGGCCATAATTCAAATAAAATCTTTGACAGAATTACCTTCTCCTGGACATGTTTGGGAATCATGATTGTAAACAAGTATTCCAACTTTCAAATTAATATCTCAAACAGTTCAGTCAAAAAGTGGACTGGTACTAAAAACTTAACCAAGATTCTAAGTCGATAAAAGGCCTTAATTTTTAAAACAAATCCTTGACAGAGTTACCTTCTCTTGCGTTACAGATGGGGGTAATGATGTGAAATAGCATTAAAAGTTTCAAAGCAATATCTCAAAGGGTTAAGGCAATAAGTGGATTTTACCCATATTCAATTGTATTTTCTAAGTCAAAAAGGGGCATAATTCTGTCAAAAACCTTGACAGAGTTATGTCCTCTTGTCTGTTGATGAAGGTCGTGATGGTAAACAAGTATGGTCAGTTTCAAAGCAATACCTCCAATGGTTTTGAAATAAAGTGAGGTGGTACAAAAAACTTAACCAAGATTCTAAGTCGATAAAAGGCCTTAATTTTTAAAACAAATCCTTGACAGAGTTACCTTCTCTTGCGTACAGATGGGGGTAATGATGTGAAATAGCATTAAAAGTTTCAAAGCAATATCTCAAAGGGTTAAGGCAATAAGTGGATTTTACCCATATTCAATGTATTTTCTAAGTCAAAAAGGGGCATAATTCTGTCAAAAACCTTGACAGAGTTATGTCCTCTTGTCTGTTGATGAAGGTCGTGATGGTAAACAAGTGATGGTCAGTTTCAAAGCAATACCTCCAATGGTTTTGAAATAAAGTGAGGTGGTACAAAAAAAACTTAACCAAAGCTCAATACACTTTCTAAGTCAAAAAAGGGCCATAATTCTGTCAAAAAACCTTGACAGAGTTATGTACTCTTGTCTGTAGATGGAGGTTATGATGGTGACAAGTATGGTAAGTTTCAAAGCCATACTTGTAATACTTCTGAAATAAAGTGGGGTGGTACGAAAACTTAACCAAGGTGTGACGCCAACGCTAACGCCGACGCCGACGCCGACGCCGGGGCGAGTAGGATAGCTCCCCTTTTCATAGAAAAGTCGAGCTAAAAAGGGGTCATCTACTAGTAAATGACCAATCACTTTGTTAAATATGAAGACTTTGTGATCAATAGTTTTCAAGATAATCAGCCGAAACCATTCTGACATTTAAGGCCCCTGTGACCTTGACCTTTGACCTAGTGACCCCAAAATCAATAGGGGTCATCCAATAGTTATGACCAATCAGTATGTGAAATATGAAGACGTTGTAATCAATAGTAACCAAGACAATGAGCGGAAACTTTTCTGACATTTAAGGCCCGGTGAACTTGACCTTTGATATCGTGGCTCCAAAATCAATAGGGGTCATCTACTAGTTATGACCACAGGCGCTAGTCACATAATCAAATATTTTACATAATCGGTCTATATATGTATATAAAGATATTTATACATATATAGACTGATTATGTAAAATATTTGATTATGTGACTAGCACCTGTGTTTGAAGGGGGACATAATAAAAAATTCTAAAATCTTTGAAAATAAGAGTTTCTTCACTGTAATAGTGCTTAAATATGTTTGAAGATGCCATCCCAAACAGTAGTTGTTTGTATTCATTTAATCACTGCAAAATTTTGGTCATGCATTTTTACCCAAATTTTTAACAAAAACACTGCTGAAATTCCCAATTCAATGGATATGAGTATGTTCCAAAAATCTTAGAAAAAATCCCTGTTAATCCTTTTGCTAAAGACCACCTCCTAAAATTAATCAAATGGGATTTTCTATATATGTTTGGATGTAAAATATTAGACAAATCTTACCTTATACAAAAGTTTGGGTCATAGTCACAGTCTGTATTGCAGGCAAACCTTATCCATGTGAGCCAACCCATGGGTGGTGTCCTAGCCAAGCCATTATCAAGACTCATACCAGTTGCAAAGAATGTAGCAAACAGCCAGATACATATGAAAACCATTCTGAAATGATTATTATGAGAATGGTTTCATCTTGTTTCCATCTATTTGGTTAACAGGACCCCATTGGAAATAAGCCCACCAGCTTAATGGGCTATCCTTGTAACCATAGATCACTCTTAAACAAAACCATTGTATTGAAATTTTATTATTATTACTTTATTTTTATTTTTCTATTTAGTTTTTCTATATCATTTCTATCAGTAACTTTAAACAATATTCTGTGCTTAAATTACAATTCTGACTTAATTGTTGTAGTGAATCCGGGTCAGCTCGGCCCTAAAACATACTCGACCCCCGAGTATGTTCGGGCCTATTCCAACTCGGCACGGGTTAGCCTAATTAATTTGGTGTGAACGGTTTGACCCATTTTACAGACTTTTTTTTTCTTACTGTCAAAGCGCCCGTCCAAAATTATCTCGGTGTCTCTTTGACAAGTCTAATTAGTTGGACTAGGCACGGGTCAACTCGGCCCACTTTTAAAAATGGGGAAAAGACATCAAGGGACTTCTATTGTCACGGGCTATTATTATCAATCAATGTGACACATGTTAAGGATACCGATTAATTAGGTGATAATTATGATTGACTCATTCATTCCAATTTGATTAGTGACCACCTGCAATTAATAAGAAGCTTATGCGATTAAGTTTTTGTTTCATTTTTTTTTGAAAATTACTTTACAAACAAAATGCATTTAAGGAAACACATTTTTATTATATTTATTAATTTTATCGAATCTGCAAGACAAATAAATAACTTTAAAAAAAAAGACTTATATTTCTTATTATTCATTTACCTTAAAATCAAGCTTCAGCTTCCTAGCCAGTTAAAATATCACGCATGCCTGCTAAACTTAAAACTTGTAGCAAGTAAAACTTATTAACTAGATCTAGATACATTGTACATCATTGTATCAAAATCAGTAAAACAATACATTTTCTGAAAGCTTATGCATTTGTCTATGGCTGCAGGTAGTGACTAGGCTGCAGGGAGAATAAAAGCTGAATAGTGTTGTAGTTCTAAAAATATTCATGTAAAAAGGTAGCGGTGTGGACTTACATAAACCATGGTTTAAATGTGTAATAAAAGAAAAGGAAAACACCTAACGTATAGATTTAGCCGAATGGTAAAAAGTCCGAAATATCCCTATCATCGAGGACGAATTATTCGCTCCAACTACAGTAGACTAGACGATAATCTGTTTTATTGTAATTTTCATATATGTGAATGACTCTTTTACTTAAAATGCAATCAATTATATTATTTTCTTACAATTTATGTTTTCAGGCTATTTATATGTCTCTAATTCTGTAGAAAATTTATTTAACTGTGTTTCATCATTTCGTACCCATGTACTTTCGAACTATCTACATCATGATACTGCTTAACATAATAATAACAATCGTATAATTTAGTTGTTAAGGAGCTGTTAGTAAAAGAAGGTTAATCTACTATCATTTAAATTTCTATTACCTTTGTATATTTTACAAGCTAGATAGATAGATTCTTTAAAGAAATATCAAATAATGATTAAACTGTAGAACATATGTGAACAATTTTTTATAAAATCATATTTATATTTACACTAAAATACCTTTGGAATGCTTAGAGGTTTGAGAACTGGTTTGTTCAAGATACATGTATCAAGTGACAAGTTATTATCATAAGTACTTATTACATACAGTTGAATCCCTACTTAAGATCACTCCGGAATTAAGACCTCCCTGCTATTAAGACCATTTTTGTAAGAACATAATTAACTGTTCTTTATGTCAATGGTTACATGATCGAGAATTAAGACCACCTCGCTTATCATTAACTTTTAAGACCACAAGATTCAGGCCCAATTTTTTGTTTTTTGTTCTTTATTTGACCCCACTATTGAGACCACTGATTATAAAATCAACACCTACCTAGATCTTAATTATGTTGTTATGCTGTGTAATATTATCTGCTTGAATGCTCTTGACACTTGATTTCACAAGGTGTCAAAAACACCTTAGGCCTATATTATTGGAATATTGTATTAAATAAGGTGAGAAAGTAAATTTTTTGAGTGGTTTAAATTGTTGCTTTAAACACATTGATTTTGAGAAGAATTAATTTCTAATTTAATGGGTGAATTATGTCCATCATGTAATAATTAATATTGAAATTAGACTAAATAGAATTTGATATTAAATTTCTTTAGAAATATGTTTTCTTTCCATCAGATTTAATAATAACATACTTCTATATTGCATTAAGTTCAGGTTAAGATACAAATTGTTTGTTCATACAAAATGACTAAAATTGACCATGGTCATTAAGTGTATAAGCAATGATAAGAATATTCACAATGAAGACCACCCCTCAATTAAGACCACTTTGGCCAGTCCCGATGGTGTTCTTAATTGAGGGATTTTACTGTAATAAGAATTTGTATCAAACTGTTATTAACACACTAACTGTTCAATCATAATTTTGTTTATGATAATAAAGTTGTAAATACCTTTAATTCTTGATTTTTTTAAAACTATCTTCAAGTTGTTTTTATTTAATCAAGAAATTGAGAATACATACAGTTGAGTTCACACTAAACTTCCCACCCTTGTGCACTTCTAGTGCACTAGAGCTGAACTAGAAGTGCACTAGAAGTGCACTTCTAGTGCACTAGACCATATGACCAGGCTGGCCAGGGAAGGTGACACCTAAATGGTTTATTGGATAATTGTATATATCAAGTGGGGGGCATCCATTGTTACGCTGCTGTATGAAAAAAAACTTTGGGAAAATATATATATGGCCTATTCATGAATATAAATAAGTAAATTTTAAAATCAGCAGTTTTAACATTTTAGGTGATTATCATGTTAAAGCTTTAAATTAAAATGTTTTTTTCATTTATTGTAATCATATTTTTATTAACCAGTATTTAACTGTAAGTGAAAAATAATACCCCTTAAAATCAAATTTATAGAATTAATAAGGTTAAATTTAAATATGCTCCGTAATGGATAAATTAAATAAGTGTTTTAAAGCTTTTTTAAAATGGCCATATATTTCAATTTTTCTAGTGTACAAATGGTATAAATCAATGTGATATTTCTGGCCCAATTAATTTAGTTTGTTACATCATAAACTTTTTTCCATAAGCTCAAACAAATCAAGGAAAGGTTATATTTAAGCTAAAATATTATTTCTATAATATATAACTTAGAGACAATTCATCATGTTCAATATTGAAAGAGAATATTAATACATTGATTTTAAAACAATCAATATACTGTGATAATTTAGTATTCAACTGTGTAATGCTTGCATATGTTTATGCAAATAATTTAAATATTATCCATAAAATAAATAAATTTGATATCTTATTCATTATTTCAATATTAAAAATGTAATGTATAAAGGGAAAACTTTTATCGAAGAGGAAAATCTCAAGTCATGCTGTGTATTGGTATTTTCTGAGAGGGACTGTTTTCAATATACCACTCTCTTGCTGATAAGAGGGCCTCAGGGTAAATAACAAAGAACAGTCAATTTTGCAGATTTATAAGAATGCATTGAAATTCCCTGGTTTTCTCAAAATGCATGTTAGACATAAGCCTGGGATTCATCAGGCGTTGGCACTCAGTAAATGACCATAATTTTTGTATAATCAAATATACAAAAAAAAAAAAACAACAGTAAGGCATAAATGCATAATAGATATTATCAGAGACATAGATAGATGTTATCTATGTCTCTGATATTATTGTCTCTAAAGCGGAATTTTCTATATGTATCCATTTATCCACATTAATTCTTGCCATTCTGCATAATAATATCACGGATTTATATTACTATATACTATTAATATAAATCCGTGATAATATATAACTTAAGAGGCAATTCCTCATGTTCAAGATTGAAAGAGAATATTAATTCATTGATTTTAAAACATTTTATACACTGTGATATTATGTTTTTCAACCATGAAATGCTTGCATACTTTTTAAAGATATACATAATTAAAATTTTTCCATAAAATTCATAACTTTATTCAAGATTTCTACATTAAAAATGTAATGTATAAAGGGAATGTTTTTATACAAGAGGAAAGTCTCGAGTCATGCTGTATATTGGTATTTTTTTGAGAGCGACTGTTTTCATTACACTGGTTTCCTGCTGATAAGAGGGCCTCAGGGTAAATAACAAAAATGCAAATGTATGCAATATTTATTGAAAATTTCCTTTTTTTCCCCCAAAATACATTTAAGTCATCGATAAATGACTATACTTTTTGTATAATCAAATGTAAAAAATAATCTTAATGTCATAAACGCATGTTAGATATTATTGTCATTTATTGTCTTTGAAGTGGAATTTTCTAATCTTATTATAAAAAACTGGTTTAAAACCAATATCAGTGTTAACTATTCTACAAAGACTTCGTATCAATATTTTTTCACATTTCTTGCAATTCTGCATTAAAATTTGCAGCATCTTTTAGTTTTTGAACTGGTTAATGTTATTTTTTTCTATTATAGATTTGACAAATTTGCCCTGTCAGTTTTTACGCATTTAGAAGATAATATATTTTAAAGAAAATATTATTTAAATACATGATTATAAAACTTTTGCAACTTCCTTTTCACTTTAATGCAGATCTGTTTTTTGTTGTTTTTTTTTAATTTAATATCATACATGAGCAGAAAACAGTTACAGGAGATTAAGGTGTCAAAAGTCATGCTGTGTATAGGTGTTTTGATATAGTACCCTGCTGATAAGAGAGCCCCTCAGGGTAAATAACATAAGCCAGATTAGGCGATGTAAATTCTGTATTCTCTGGATGTTGGTGCAAGTAAATTTCATTACAAATAGTACAAACAGAAAAATGAATATTTTTGCAATTTATAATAAACTCATAAAATTAATCATATTGCATAATAATGTTACAATGCATGAAAAAAAAAAAGGAAAAAAGATTGGTGTCGTCTCAAAAATGGAATTGACAGATTTTCTAATCTTTTTGTTAATATCCATGTCAGTTTAAGTATACTAGTATCCCAAGGTACATATCAATACTTAATCCACACATATCATTATACATAACACCATTATATATAAATATTTATTTTCAGAATAATATATATCATTTATATTAATCTTAGCTAAATCTCAGTTTGAGAAGGTAAGAGAGATTATAAATGAAATAAAATTGATAAAATTTAGGCCAATTATAAACATATTAATTCTTTAATGTATTAAAGGCTATTAATGCTTAAAATCATTACCTTTAACTAAAACAACCATAAGTTAAGATCAAAAATAACTAATACTACAGTATAATTCCCCCTCCCCCCAAAAAAAGAACTGACTTAATTTTGTTTGATTAGCATTTCAATGTTTCATATTTCATTACCAGATTATGATAAAATAGAATCATATTAAATATCAATTAAGTTTGTTTATTTATGCACTTATCAACATTAAAGTTATAATTATTTATATTTAAATTACTTATTCTAACAATTAAATTTTAAAGTACAAAATCAGTAAAATTAATGGCTTTGAAAATTATTGTTCTAATATTTTACGCCATATTTTACAAAATCCAATAATCACAATTTCAAATTTTTATTGAAAAACTATTAAACAGATATCTATATTTTCTATCTTTTTGTAAAAGTCAAATTGCTATTCAGTGAAATAAAAGGTAACTGCTTAATACATATAATAGGTCTGGTGCACTACAAAGTGCACTTATGAAGTGCACTAACTAGTAGTGCACTACTAGTGCACTTTGTAGTGCACTAGTAGTGCACATCTAGTGCACTCCTAGTGCACTTTGTGTAACCTTTAGTGTGAACTCAACTGTACTTAAATGATAAGATAATTAAGCAATATAATTATGTGGCTGGGTTAAGGCTTAATTCACATGAAATGGTAAAATATCAAAACATCAGAATAATATAACTTTATATACTGAAGATACAGACTTTATAATTTTTTCAGGAAAGAATGCATTTTTTACTGTTAAATCTAACAGTGCTATGTTGGTTGGTAAAGATCTGTAACAGTCTGGACAATGGATTGGCTCTTACACCACCGATGGGATGGTTAACATGGCAAAGGTTTAGATGTAACATAGACTGCAAAATAGATCCAGAGAACTGCATTAGGTACAGATTGGCTCAGATCACTTATTTTACTCTTTGTTAAAGTTTCTTTAATTTGGTCTTTAATTAAAAAAACAACAACAAAAACTCTGTTGAACAGTTTTGGAATGATCACTCTTTAATTAGACAGTGGATTGTATACATAAATGTTACATGATCATATCATATGTTGGCTGAGTTCAAATTAGGCTTCTGACAACTGATTTTTGTTACACATTTATATGATATCCCTTTTTCTCTCCCATTTTTTTTATGAAAATAGTGGTTAACAGATTATATTCTTTTAACAAGGTAATAAATGGTACTGATTTTAAGTACCGATATATATAGGTCATGTTCAAAGTACTCATTTTTCAGATAGTTAAGGTGGGAAGTGGTAGTATGAATGAATCACCTTCAGTGATAGCTCTTAAGTCTTTTATTTGTTCAAACTTTCACTTATTCACTATTCAAAGGCAGCAATTATCTGCCTAGTGCCGGATACAAAAAGAGCAGTATACATTTATCACTTAGTGTAATTATTTTTTATTTAGTTATGACTATTTATTTAACGTAGCCTAACAATGTATAGTGGGAGAAGATAACTATTTGTTCAACTTATTACTTGTTCTTTGCAAACCGTGTCATAGATCTGTTGAACCAATTACTTGTAATGAGGAAGGACTTTAATAAGACACTTAGTTCAATATTGACATCACACCAACCTACCAAGACGATTGAGGTTAAATTGTATGGCAAAGGTAAAAATGATCTATTCTAAGCACTTAGTCAATGCAAATTATGTCAATTGCTATGTCTGCCTGCTTTCCCCCCCCCCCCCCCAATCCCTACCCATGAGGAAGTTTATAAGATGCTTGGTTCAGTTGATTTCACACCAAGACTTGTTAAGATTGAATAATATGGCAAAAAAACAGATGATCTAAGCACTTGATCAACCTAATTTCAATTCATTACCCCTGCCTGCAGCTACCCTCACCCTTCTACACACATGACTGACCCCTTACCCATGCCCCCTATCCTAAAGCAAACTGTGCTAAATATTTGAGGGGGGGTGGAATTTTTTTTTGTATTTTTTTGTCAAAACTTATTTTGTAAGAGTTATGATATTTAGAAATGTTGTACTGATCCAATCAACCAGTCAACTTTAATACTCTTGAATGATTTGCAGTGAACATCTTATCAAACGTCAGTCCGACTGTTTGGTTAGTGAGGGATATCATGATGTGGGTTACGAGTATGTTACCATTGACGACTGTTGGTCCGATACAGAGAGGGATAAGAATGGTAGACTACAACCAAACTATGATCGATTCCCTAATGGAATAAAAAATTTATCAGATTATGTAAGTGATATCAATTCATTATTGTAATTGTTTATATATAAATTATTTAAGTGTTAATGTAATAATTGAAATGATCATATAGCTAGACTTTGTGGACATGCAGGCTTAGCTTTGCCTCTATATTATTGGCTTAAATAAGTCAATGAATTTGACTTTTGCATAAAAAAGATATGTCTTACACAAGAAATAAGACTTAAATATGCACTTTTTACTTGTAGGTACATTCTAAAGGATTAAAGTTTGGTATATATGCCGACTTCGGCTCCAAGACATGTGCTGGCTACCCTGGTAGTGAGTATCATATGAAACTAGACGCTCAAACATTTGCAGACTGGGGAGTAGATTTACTCAAGTTTGATGGCTGCAATTCTGATATCAAAGATGCACCTAAAGGTACGGATGTCAACTGGTTGGCTGTTTGTTTTTCAATATTTTAATGATGAAGTTGCTTAAAGTCACATAATGCCTCAGAAATTCATATCAATTTTTAATTAGGACAATTGAATCAAAGACCAACACAAATTAAATTATTTTTTTTTAAATTTCAAACGTATGTTAAATAAATTTTCAATAATACATTTAGAGCAGGTTAAGATTTTAAACAGCTAAGGAAAGTAAAGCAGAATGTGCAGTAGTGTGTCATTAAGATAGTTAAATATATCCAAGTAGTATTTTGACTTCCATACAAAATACTAATTCACTATAATTATACGAATTGTCAACAAAGCGAAAGGAGAAAAAACAATTCATCTATATGGCAAATGAGTAATTTTATTAATTTTTACTAAAATGTTTTTGAGAAATAAAAATGATAGAGTTTCTAAGGCACAACTGGCTTTTAACATAGAACATGGGAAGAGGTGGCTCTATGACTAAGTTTTCTAATTCTTAACAGAGGGATCGTGGTTTAAGACCTATTGGGGTCACAAGCATTTTTCCTTATATGACTTTATTTGTGAATTGGACAATAGATTGTTTTAAATGTGCATTTAGCTGTCTTCACTGGAGAGCGATGTTTAAACTAAACTGGTTTTGAACAATTCAAAGCTTGGCATTTTTTTTGCAAAAGTTTAATAGGATAAGTGTTCATCGATTTTTAGCTCACCTGTCACAAAGTGACAGGGTGAGCTTTTGTGATCGCTTTTCGTCCGGCGTCCGTCCGGCGTCCGTCCATCGTCCGTCCGTCCGTAAACTTTTACTTTAAATGACATCTCCTCATAAACCACTAAGCCAATTTCATCCAAACTTCACAGGAATGTTCCTTTGGTGGTCACCTTTAAAAATTGTTCAAAGAATTAAATTCCATGCAGAACTCTGGTTGCCATGGCAACCGAAAGAAAAAACTTTAAATATCTTCTTTTAAAAAACCATAAGAGCTAGAGCTTAGATATTTGGCATGAAACATCTTCTAGTGAGTGTCTACCAAGTTTGTTCAAATAAAAGCCCTGGGGTCAAAATTGGCCCCGCCCCGGGGGGTCATTGATTTTCCCTATATGCATATAGTAAAAACTTAAAAAATCTTCTTTTAAAGAACCCATAGAGCTAGAGCTAAGATATTTAGCATGAAACATGTTCTAATGGGTGTCTACCAAGTTTGTTCAAATAAAAGCCCTGGGGTCAAAATTGGTCCCGCCCCGGGGGGTCATTGATTTTCCCTATATGCATATAGTAAAAACTTAAAAAATCTTCTTTTAAAGAACTCAAAGAGCTAGAGCTTAGATATTTGGCATGAAACATCTTCTAGTGAGTGTCTACCAAGTTTGTTCAAATAAAAGCCCTGGGGTCAAAATTGGCCCCGCCCCGGGGGGTCATTGATTTTCCCTATATATGCATATAGTAAAAACTTAAAAAATCTTCTTTTAAAGAACCCAAAGAGCTAGAGCTAAGATATTTAGCATGAAACATGTTCTAATGGGTGTCTACCAAGTTTGTTTAAATAAAAGCCTTGGGGTCAAAATTGGCCCCGCCCCGGGGGGTCAATGATTTTCCCTATATGCATATAGTAAAAACTTAAAAAATCTTCTTTTAAAGAACCCAAAGAGCTAGAGCTAAGATATTTAGCATGAAACATGTTCTAATGGGTGTCTACCAAGTTTGTTCAAATAAAAGCCCTTGGGTCAAAATTGGCCCCGCCCCGGGGGGTTATTGATTTTCCCTATATGCATATAGTAAAAACTTAAAAAATCTTCTTTTAAAGAACTCAAAGAGCTATGGCTAAGATATTTGGCATAAAACATGTTCTAATAAGTGTCTACCAAGTTTGTTCAAATAAAAGCCCTGGGGTCAAAATTGGCACCGCCCTTCCTTATATGTGTATAGCAAAAACTTAAAAAATCTTCTTTGAAAGAACCCAAATAGCTAGAGTTAAGATATTAAGCATAAAACATCTTTTAGTGAGTGTCTACAAAGTTTGTTCAAATAAAAGACCTGGGGTCAAAATTGGCCCCGCCCCGGAGGTCATTGATTTTCTTTATATGTGTTTAGCAAAAACTTTAAATCTTCTTTGAAAAAACCAAAATAGCTAGAGTTTAGATATTAAGCATGAAACATCTTCTAGTAAATGTCTACAAAGTTTGTTCAAATAAAAGCCCTGGGGTCAAAACTGGCCCGGCCCCAGGGGTGTCATTGTTTTTAACTATATGTGTATAGTAAAAAACTTTAAAAAAATCTTCTTTTAAAAAGCCCAATGAGCTAGAGCTTAGATGTTTAGCATGAAACATCTTCTTATGGGTGTCTACCAAGTTTGTGCAAATAAAAGCCCTCGGGTTAAATTGGCCCTGCAACTTGGGGGGGGGGGGGGGGCCTATATACAGGTGAGCGACCTCAGGGCCATCATGGCCCTCTTGTTAAAGTCATGATAGATTTGATGAAATTTTAAAGATATTTCATAATCATACTATAAATTGATTATATTGTTATAGGCATGAAAGAAATCTCATGTCAGATATTTAAATGTACAGAATAAATTACCTAATTTGAACATGTTTTAGGATACCCAGCCATGGCAAAGTATTTAAATATGACAGGACGTCCTATACTCTACTCTTGTGAATGGCCATTTTATAACTGGAAAAATGGTGTCAAGGTAAACAAGTAGTGGAGTTTTTACAAACATGACAAATCTATGTGAGTTATTATTTATCAAATGCTGAAATGAAAGAATGAGGTTTTGTTACATGTAGAGAACATATCTGGTACCTCTGTTCAGCTCCAAAGCTCAGTAGAGCAGGCAATCAGGGTGACAGATTCATGGTGTGTAAATTAGAGTTCAAGACAAAGCATAATTTCTCCTATGGCAACATAATCTTATTGTGTGTAGCAATTGAGATATGTGGAGGAGTTGGAAGCTTCTTGTGGAACATCTCTTTAGCTTTTCCTTTATTGATAAGCTTTTCAGACACTAAAAATGTTCATTTAAAGAAGCAAGTTTGTTTTACACAACTTCTTCTCTTATATCAGCAGCTGTACACACTGTCCTCTTCTATAACAATAGAAATTGAATAAGAATGATGACAAAATGAAATATGTAACATAATAACTTGCCAAGTAAATTGAAAAGCTGTTTGTTCAGAATTTTACTGATTGCAATAATTTTTTCTCATTAATTATCCAAGCACTGTAGGAACAGGATGGTGTTTGAAAGGAGTGTTTAGGTTTTACTATCTTATTTTATATTAATGTTGAATTATTTTATCATGTTTTCAGTCAAATTTCACAGCTATCAGGAACACGTGTAACATGTGGAGGAATCATTGGGATATCCAGGACTCATGGCAGAGTGTGAAAGGTGTGATACAATACTTTGTAAAGAGTGACAAACAGTTCCGGTCATTTGCTGGACCTGGTGGTTGGAATGATCCAGACATGGTTAGTAAAGTTAACTCATTTAGAACATATGGAAGCTATTGCAAGTGCAGTGCATGCCAAATGTATACAGTAAAAGCCAACTAGATATTTAAATAGTCCTGCAGGCTTTAATCTCTATTCTGCTCAGTTTCAGTAGTTTTGAATATCCTGAAATTAACAATAGACAGTTCAGTTTTTCAAGCTTGGTCATTCTAAAAATAGTAGTACTATCCTACTCCCCCTGGTGAAAAAGTAGTGGAGCTATCCTACTCCCCCTGGTAGAGGGAGTAGTGGAGCTATCCTACTCCCCCTGGTGAAAAAGTAGTGGAGCTTTCCTACTCCCCCTGGTAGAGGGAGAAGTGGAGCTATCCTACTCCCCCTGGTGAAAAAGTAGTGGAGCTATCCTACTCCCCCTGGTAGGAGTAGTATTGTGGCTATCCTACTCCCCCCTGGCAGAAAGAGAAGTGAAGCTATCCTACTCCCCCCTGGCAGAAAGAGAAGTGAAGCTATCCTACTCTCCCTGGTAAATAAAAAATATTGGGGTTATCCAACTCCCTCTGGTGGTTATCCTATTCACCCTAGTAGAATGAGCAGTGGGACTGTCCTATTTATCCTGACAGAAAATATTAGGTTTATCCTACTCAACCTGGTGGAAAGAACAGAGAGGCAATTTAATGCTTGTTGTGATAGCCTGCATGTTGAGTGAGAATTTCAATGAATAATGTTGAGGTTGAAATGATGTTGTGACTTTTATATTGCTAATTTCAAATTTATGTTATTTGTAAACCCATGTTTACACCCAACTTTCTTTCACTTAAAATATTTCTGTTATCATATTCTAACAACATGCAAAAGAACTATTGAACAGTTTTAATTCTGCCTTTTTGCTAAGTACATGTATATGAAAACCCCAAAAATGTCCATAATGTCTATCCAAGAAACATAATTCTACAATCTGGAATGGAATGTTTTTCTGACAATTCAAAGTTTTATATCAATATTAACATGGTAAATATTATCTGCTATATTATTTTACAATATATAATTGAGCCGCATCACGATAAAACCTACATAGTGCGTATGTGACCAGCATGGATCCAGACCAGCCTGCGCATCCAATTGCAGTCTTACCAGGATCCATGCTGTTTGCTTTCAGTTTTTCTACTTGTAATAGAGTTGGTAAGCGAACAGCATGGATCCTGATCAGACTTCGCGGATGCGCAGGCTGGTCTGTATCAATGCTGGCCACAAACGCACTATCTTGGTTTTGTCGTGACACGGCTCATATTTCTATTTCAGTTAGTTATAGGAAACTATGGTTTAAGTTATGATGAGGAGAGAGCACAGATGGCCATGTGGGCAATTCTGGCATCACCATTGATAATGAGCCTTGATGCTTGTAATGTGAGACCACTTTCCAAATCCATACTGCAAAACAAAAATGTGATTGCTGTAAATCAGGACAAACTTGGAATTCAGGGCTCTTTGAAACTAGTACAGGTCTGTTCATAAAATATAATTTACACATAATTAAGATATTACGATTTAATTTTACAATCAAATAGCAGTTATTGGAAGAACTTAGTAAGATTCATCTATTCAATTTGTTTATACATCTGAAGTTTCTGTATGGCAGTTATGAGGTATGCAGATTTAATAGAACTTGACCTTGTTCTAAATACATTGTATGACCTTGACATATTTGTAATGTTGCTTTTCATTGGATAATCATGATGTGTTTGTATTTTTACATATACAGGCAGCTGCTGTCAATTTTTGAAGAAGTCTCTTTTTCTTCTCTGAAAAAGGAAGCTTGCTTTATTATAAATTTGTTATAAAGATTCTTGACAGGTTATATGGTTGTTTATAATACTGCACGTTTTTAACTTCGCATTCATTGGATAAGTGTGACATTTATATAGCTTTATATACACGGCTGCTGTCAGTTTATTAAAAAATAAACTTTTTTTCCCTAAAAAGGGAAGTTTGCTGTATTATAAATTTGTCATAAAGATTCCTAACATGTTATATGGCCGTATATAAACGATTGTTTGTGTGCAATATAACCACCACCTAGTGGCTTGGGTTATATATACAAACAGCCATTTATATAGGACCATATAACCTGTCAAGAATCTTTATAACTAATAATATAAATGGTCGTTCGCAATATAACCCTAACATATAGTGCCATATAACCTGTCAAAAATCTTTATAACTATAGTCTGTCCCATCAAATTTGAATATTCCATTTTTTATTTAATATAATTGTAAAATCATTTAAATTAATATCATGTTAACCCTAACGTCAATATCTCTAGGCATGTTTTTCATTTTTTTCATAACGTCAGTAATATGGTCACAATGTTGAAATTATATTTTTTCCCGTTGACTTACGTTGTAACCTGACGTGACGTCCATTTCAAAATGGCGGCGCCCATATAGACGTCATTTAGGGTTCGTCTCACAATTAGCGTGAAATGAACTTGGTAATTATAAAAAAATTGATTATTCTTATTTAATTACTGGTCAATAGCTAAATGTTATCATTAATAAGAAAATGAGAACAAAGTTGGTGTCAAAAAGGCAATTTTACTAGCAAACCATTATTTAAAATGATAAAAAACCTTTTGAAGTAAAAATACCAGTATTCGCTTTATAAATTCTAAAACACAAAGATTTATATAATTACCATGATATACTGTCGTATTTTATATTATTTTTAAGAGAAAAGGAGCAATGAAGTGATTTAAGTAGATAGCTTTTCAATCAAGCGCGTAACTTGAATACCGCAACGCGTCGTAGGTTTACATAATTCTGTAGTTGTCTGAATTCTGTGCATTAGTATATATCACGTCTATTCAAAAATAATTAAATTGATCAGGTTCGATGGGATACAAAAATATGTTACCCTTCTTATTTCGGGTGCGATGTAAGTGCGCTAAAACTTTTCGTAGGTTTCAACTTTCACAAGAAATCGCCAACAAATACTACATTATCATGCAAATCTGACAAGAAATATATAGAAAGGAGAACTGATTCACTATATGTTCAGCATTGGTTTGCTTGTAACCATAGTGTCTACTTTAACTAACTCCCTCGCTAATGAGAGAACACAGACTCGCGTTCGAGGAAAATGTAAATTATAAGTATATATAATATCATGCTTTCTAGTTTGAGCAATCAAACGTAGGCCTATACACTTTAAGCTCGTAAATACAGATTTAACTTTCCGTCTCACAATTCAACAAAATGTCCAGAAATACCGGCAGTGATTTGATATTATAAAGAATAAGTTTGAAATGGAGCGTTCAATAAGCTGCAATAAGTGTGTTTTTGGTAGACTTAAAGTGTTACATAATATATTTCATAATTATGGTACTGTTATAGATTCATGTTATTAAGCGTGTTTAAAATTAATTAAATGTTATCAAAAGTTTTATAATTAATATATGAATTGAAGGTGTAATTTTAACAGTTAAGTTGCGAAATCTGGGTATACAAAAAATATTTTTAATGCCATCAAGACAAATTTATCTCAACGCTTAAAATTATCTGTATGAGGTTACATATGCCTAACCGCCCTCTGTCAATGCCGCAACTGGAATCATCCATAAAAAGCGCGAGGCATTTTTGTTACGTCATATATTTCGTAAATTGTTGTTGACGTAATAAAGTTTTTTTCGTCAGGAATCCATTTTCAAGAGTTATAAACATTGTGATGTTGACATGTAAAATTGATGGGCCGTTCTTGAATTATGGATTTGGAACATACTGAATTATGATGTGTTTCATTTACATATTTCATTTGCTAACCCAGATAACTCCACAAATTGAACAATGTTTTAATAATGAGACGGATTAACAGTTTAAAAAAATCTGGATCATCATGACATAAGTGTAGGAGTCATGCCATTCAGGAGTTTCAAAGTAAAAAATGGGATCTACGGAACTGGATAGAATGTGGTAATGAAGGAATCTTCAGAATGCGAATTTGTCGTGACGTTTATAAAGATCTATTTCGAAATTCATAGGGATTCTATTCAGCTTAAAAGTAAGTGCAATTTCTAGATTTACTTCATGTGACTCGACAAGTTGCTTATTATTTATTTTTTAAAGTTTTCCATCACGCATTGCAACTAAACTGTTACATCTTGTAGATCATGCTTTGTAAAATAATCATGAAACGACCCCGACAACCTCATGTATATTTTGGAAACATGACACGTGCTTTCTCCCGTTCATCTTCAAATGAAGAGTACTTCGGCAATGGCTACGGAAAATAAACAACAGAGATTTACCATAGAGAAATCAAAATTTGCTTTCACAAGAAAAGTAGACACTTTAGAGAAAAATCCTGAAAAATCTCGAGGGTGACTTTTTTTTAGTTTACAAAAATAGTTTAATTTTTATTCAACCTCGTTTTTTTAATTCACACCAGGCAAAAGTTCATTTCCATTTTTAATGGGACAGACTATAATAATGTAAATATGTATACAAATAATCCCCCCAAAAAGTAATATCTGATCACCATTTTCAGGAATCAGTATACAAGCTACAGATATGGACAAAACCTCTGTTACCAAAGGGAAGTTATGCAATTGTTGTTTTAAATCTACATCAAGGGGGTGGACAATTACATGTTAATTTCACACTAAATGACCTTGACATTTATGATTCTAAAGGGTTCAATGTGTCAGAGACATTTGAAGGACGACATATTGGATTTTATAAATCAAATGACGTAATAAAATGCAGAGTAAATCCATCTGGAGTGTTCATGATGACAGCAAGACCTGCAATAACCAATGACAGCAATCTTAGATTTATATCAAAGTATAAACATACTTATGTTGGAAAGAAGGGAGAGAAATGATAATACATGTATGTAGAAATATCCACATATAAAGGGGGACAATTATAAAAGGTTTAAAAGAAAGATATCAAAAATATAATTTCAAAGATTTTGGAAGTATTTTGAATATTATATAATGTATTTGATATGTAGGAATTGTCTTCCATTTTGTTTTTAGCTTCACCTTTTTTTAAAAAAAGGTGCTGCTATTTTTTGTACCCTACTCATAGGCATCTGTATTGGTTAATCTTTTGGTTAAGTTTAAATTGTAACTTTATGGGAAGGTGCATCTTGGTGAGTTCTATTTACACAACCCATTTTCAGGTCAAAAGGATGAGGTCACTGAGACCTGTAATAACGTGACATAAAACTGGCCAGTAAATGAAAGTGGACTGGTCTAGAAACTTGAAACTTTGAATGTAGATTCACTTTTTCTACCTGCTTTCCCCATATTTAGATAAAAATGTCAGTCTCTTTTACCTGTAATAGGGTAAGCTGTATTTTAGAAATAATTCACTTCAAACTTGGTGTGCTAGTTTAATATCAAAATTCAAAGCCATCTCACAAGGACAGATAATTCTAGCTATTTTTTTTGCTAAAGTTTGTTCCTTTTTTACTTATATTTTTTTTCGTTAAGGTTTATTTCTCAAAAGCTGTCAAAGATATTTACTATAACATTGGAATTGTTTTTTCACTATCAGCATTTAAATAAAAATCCTGAAAATCTGTTTTCCTTAATTTTATCCCTTATTAGTCCCCTACCGGTTTAACCGGAGGGGACTTTAGGTTTACCCTCCGTTCGTCTGTCTGTCTGTCCATCTGTCTATTAGTCCGTCAGTCCGTCCGTCCACAAAACTGGATCCCGCATTAGCGCAAAAAGTACTGAAAATATTTTTATGAAACTTGATATATGGATAGATGGCAGTATGGAGATTATGCACGTCATTTTCTTTTCTTCCTATGTTGAAAATTCTGGTTGCTATGGCAACAAATAGTCTGAAAATATGGCAAATTTAACACATAAACTGGATCCAGTGATAACTCAAAAAGTACTGAAAATATTTTTTATGAAACTTGAAATATGGGTAGATGGCAGTCTGCAGATTATGCGCATCTTTTTCTTTTCTTCCTATGTTGAAAATTCTGGTTGCTATGGCAACAAATAGCCTGAATTTCAAGATTTCTGCTTTAAATTTTTCAGCTTTTTCACAATAAGTTCTTTATTTCTTAAGGTGTTTACTTCAAACTTTAAATATAAGTTTCTGGTCATCAACCACATCATATGTGACAAGGTTTGCAACTCTAGCACAAAAATTATCAGTATTACCTCCCTTGAACTTAGAATTTTGTTGAAAAAAATGTTGTCTTTTTTAAATAACTTCTTTATTTCCTAATGCATGTACTTGAAACTTCATATATATGTTTCTTATTATCACTCAACATTTTTGAGAAGGTTAAATACTCTAGCAAGACTATTTCCAGAATTATGTCCCCCTTAAACTTAGATTTTTTTTAGAGAAATTGGTATTTCTTCATTCCATATAGGATTTACTTTAAAATCCTACATCGTAATAATATGATAAGGTTGTATAAACATAATTTCCTTACTAGGCAGGGAAACTTAACACATTACTGTGAAATAAACAAACTTAGAACTCAAAAGATTTAAGTTCATTCATGTCATTCATTCACTTGTAAAATTGAAATCAGAATGTTGCTGGGGTTCTAACCAAGGGGACTTATGGATTGCTTGCAATACTATGATAATTGCTTGTGTTGATATTGACATATTTTCAACATTAAAGAAGAGTGGTGAAGCGACAGTTAGGATAGGATTTTAATGAGATTGCCTGTACATGTATTTTGCAATGTAAGAAAGTTTACTTTTGTTTGTTTTTGTTTGATTATAATGTATACATGTATATGGTTGTATTCATACATGATAATATGCATAATTCTATTTTTTATACATGTACTTTTATATTTGATTTTTTTTTTAGTAAGTATTATACATATAAAATATTTTTGTTGAGAAAAAACTTTTATTATTGATTTTTTTTTGTATTTTTTGTTTGTTTGTTTGTTTTTTGTTTGTTTTGTAGAATAATATTTGAGAGTTTTACAGGGAAATTTTACACATTAAAATTTTGTATAAGATTAGAGTTGAAGTTTATGATCAGCTCAGATGTAGTTGAAATTTTTGTGATAAACCTGTTGTCATAGCAATCTACCTCAACGTATCATTGTGAGTTTTTACTATATGAAAAAAATGACCAATATATATTAAGGTTTTCTTTGTTTTTAATCAGAATCTGTAAGCATAATGTCAATTTTTATACACAATTGAAAGATTGAAATATATACATATATAAAAACAATTTAAATGATCTTTTCCTTGAAGAATGTACTTGTCACCTAGCTGCGTTGGTGTAAATTGGTCTATAATAGCAGCTAGTAGATATGGATAGTCTTATAAAATATTGTTTAAAAAAATGTTGATCAAAGTTAAGAAAGTGGTGTAAAAATAGCCCTTACTGCCTAAGTCACATATAGGAAATATGGTGATAAATACTGCATAATCAGTCCTTAGCTGCATATAGCGTGCATAGTATTACTTGAATATTAAATCTTTTTACTGTCTTATAATTTTAGAACATTTTTCTTAAGTATGAATTTCTTGATATACTCGGGCTCATCTGGAGACACCCAGCTTTAATTTGTTAAGTCGATTAGAAATGAACCAGCTTTAATATTTTTAACCATATATTGAAATGAAGTATTAAATAGATTTATTGTTTTATTGACAAATGTTTTATAGTTCATATTCTCTAAAGTTTGTTAAAAATAAACTGATGAACAATCAAAGATTGATTTCTTTGTTACATCCACCCATATCTAGTTACCACCCACGCAAGTGCTTAAATGTCAAATTCCACATCAGGGTTAGCCCTGACTGTAGACGTGGCCAACCATGCATTATTGTTGAATTCATTAAGAAAATTATCTTATTGTAATAATCATACCCCCGCACAACAAAATTTTAAGGGTGGGTATACTTGAATCAGCTTGTCCGTCTTACTGTCTGTTTTTCCTTTTCCCCCCAATAACTTGAGAATCCTTTGACCCACAGTCTTCATATTTGGTATTAAGATTGGTCTAGATTAGACGATGACCCCTAATGATTTTGACCAGGTCAAAGGTCAAGGCCTCAGGGGCCTTGACTTAAAAAAGCTTGTCCACCCAATAACTAAAGAATCCTTTGACCCACAGTCTTCATATTTGGCATGGATGTTAGTCATGATTGTAAGATGACCCCTATTGATTTTGAGGTCAAGGTCACAGGGGCCTTGACTAAAAAAGCTTTCTGCCAAATAACTTAAGATCCCTTTGACCCACAGTCTTTATATTTGGCATGGAGGTTATTCATGACCATTTGGTCATCCCTATTAATTTTGGGGTCAAAGGTCACGGTCACAGGGGCCTTAAGTTCAAAAAGCTTTTCTGCTCGATTGCTTAAGAATGTTTTGGTTAACAGTCTTTTGTTGGTTTTGACTAGTAGATTATCCCAATTGATTTTGAGGTCACTAGGTCAAAGGTAAGAAGGGTCTTTACTAAAAAAAAGCTTATCCTTCCAAAAACTTTGACCCACAGTCTTCATATTTGGCATGGAGTTAGTCATGACCAATGGATGACCCCTATTGCTTTTGAGGTCAATGGATCAAAGGTCAAGGTCAGAGGGACATGACTTCTAAAGCTAGTCCACTCAATCTCTTTAGAGTGCTTTGGTCAAGTCTTCATATTTGGTATTGAGGTTGGGTATGACTAGTAGATGACCCCTATTGATTTCGAGGTGACTGTGTCAATGGTCAGGGTCACAGGGGCTTTTACCACAATAAGCCTTTTTGCTCTGTCCACCGTGTATTTATTTTAATTTTTTTACATTTGAAGGATATCATTATGTTCTCATATATACATACACTCCCCGAGGTAAAGCTGCATGAATGGGGGCGGGGTATTCAAGTCATCCTGTTTCAGTTTCGAGGTCAGTAGGTCAAAGGTAAAGGTCACTTAGATCTTTGCCACTAAAAACATGTCAAATAACATAATTTAATACCCTCAGATTTGGCAGGGAGGTTGTTCTTGAGCTTTAAATGACCACTGTTGATTCTGACAAAGTTGTATGCGGTGGTATTCACGCCGTTCTAGGTGATTTTTTCGTATATATATCATATATTATAACAGTTAATTATTTTTGAACAAAATTTATCTTGTCTTTTTGTGAAATGTCACATACCGAATTGAAGTTACTTGCCGTAATTCTACACTTTGTATTTGTTATTACAATACAAAAACGGTTTGTTACTGTATTGGTATCACTCTGTAAGAAATAGAAAATTTTTACTTCACCTGTATAAAGTCCTGATTCATATATTCTTAGATTTTAATATGCAGGACTCTTTTAAACATATCTGAAAATAGCCTTGTATTACGATATAAAATAGAGGAACACAGCATCCCTAAAGAAAACCCAACACAGCAACAGGCTTGTTTCGATTGAGCCTGTTCATGGACGGTACTGGAAAATGCAACTAAACGTCTACGCCCCCTAGCTCCGGCTTAAGCAGAATTCACTATTTTAACACGAAAATAGTGAAATTTTGAAATTAGAAACATTTGCAGATGTGTTCATCATGGAACCTTTAATGTGACGCGGTAAATCGTTTATACGTTGAGAGAACTATGGCAAGATAGTTTTCTTAAATAAGCATGTAAAATCTTTTGTGAGGCTCAGTCAGTGAAAACAATAGTCACACAATTTAGAAAATAGCGATTTTGTCTTATTTAAGTGTTCCCGTTAGGTAAAATATGAAAGCACGAAAATAAGTCAAAGTCACTATTTAGTAATAATTTCACATTGTCGTATTATTGTGTTTTTATCTTACACCCTGCAGAGCAAAGCATCATCACTTTGGGGCATTTTTTGTTTTCGCCTGGCGCCCCGCTAAGCGAAAATACAACATAACACAAATCAGCAACCATATATATGTAGCACATGCAGTTTCTTATGTTCATGATAATTGTTAAATAAGTTAAAAGATAATTGTTTTAAAAATAACAATTGGTGCGTTGTTGGTAAATGTGTTTGTTTTATCAATAGATACACTCATTTTACACATGCATGTGTTTGTAGTTCATTAAGATGATAACATTTTATTTTATCCAAAATATTTTCAGGATTTCAGGATATTTGATGTTTGTTTATTTACTTTTTCCCCATTTTTCAAATATTTCGCTCTCCTTTAATTGGTACTTCTGGAACTCCTTATCCCATGTTCAGTCAGCGAATTATTTTAAAAATATCCATGTTTAAGAATAAGTCAGTATTTAACTCGAATTGCTCGAGTCTATTGCCATTAAGTAAAATACGACAACAATCAATTAAAGTTGTATTGCCATGAATTTAATCAGAATCATATGATAAAAACAAACACAATTAGTAAGTTTATAAAGCAACTATTTACTATGTATCTATATGAAAGAAAGAAAGTCATGATTGGGTAATTATAAACCCACATCTGTGTTTATGCTTTCATAGATTTAATGCATCTTATAAGACTCTGAAACGCTTTACGAGTATGAGACCTTACATCTTTCAATTTTTCTAACAAAACTTTGCCAGTAATTATCTCACTGCTTAAAAATAGTTCGTAAATTACATCTGAAAAGCTTGAAAGTCTGTGAGAGATGTGTTGAAGAACCTGTCTGTAATCTGCCGGAAGTTGTTCAGAGTTCAGCAACACAGAAGTGTTTTCAACAACGTGATTAATTTCTACATAAAGGTCAATAGTATTTTTCAAGAAATACGCTGTTCTTTCAGTCTGCCTAATAAATGTTCTATTTGCAAAGTCAAAGTCGAATGATACTACTTCACCTTGGTTTTCTGCTCGAACAATATAATATTGCAACTTCTTGGCCAAAGGCTTTACGGCTGTCTTTAATGTGTGTAGTCTGCCAGCATGTTGATTGACACGATGTACGAGGGCCATCTTGTACCACTTTTGGCGATGTTTGCGATCAAGAGGGTTTTTAGATGCGAAGGTTTTTTTAGTCGTATTATGATAGTCTTTATAACCATATTTGTCGCATTCATATCCGTGTATTCTGCTGTCCAATAGTTGTCCACAACCCCAACAAAATTCAGCTCTACAAACACAAATCATCGATGGGCATCCTCCATTTTTCTCAATGAATCTATGGCATGATGGACACTTCTTTCCGCGAACAACAATGGGGTTTCTCATTCCTGGTGGTTCAATAGCTATATCGCCTGTTTCTCTAAGTTTCTTATAGTAGGTTTTGACGGAATCACAACTTGCTGGCCAATGTGGAGTTTCGAGACACTCAAAGCAAACCTTAATTCCACATACACACTGTGAGTTTTTGGCTTCTTCACAATTCCTTTTCAAAACTCTGCCACATTTTTCATTTGGACACCATTTTGCAGATTTCTGTTGCTCCACATTAGTGTCATGACAACATTTCGCGTGCCTTATGACTTCACGCATACTTATGAGTGTTAAAATGGTGCCAGGATCAACAACTTTGCTACAATCAAACTCTGGACATTGAATTTCTTGAACACCATTACTGACCTGTGTTTCGAGGTAATCCTTCCAACATACGTCGCAGAACCAATGACTGCAAGAAATAAGAGCTGTCCCTAGATCACTGTCCCCTAAAGTAGAGTAGCAAATGCAGCAAAATCGATCCTTAGGAGAAGTGACATTGTCTGATTTGTCTTCTGAACATGCATCGAACCGAGGTATAAATTCAAAACCCATGTCCACAGCGTCGTGTGAAGATGCAGTACGAGACAAAAAAGAATCAAATAGAAATGTGTTGTTTGGCTGATATGATTCAACTTTCCAATTTGCACATTCTTCCAGAGTAGAACCTTTAACTGTGGATTTATATTTGAAAATCTCGGTGTTGAATTCTATAGATTCTACGGGAAGAGTTTCAATGAAGAAAAGGGTTCGTTCAACAACTTCTTCTACGTTTGTTTCCATGTAATCAAAAATTGTTTCTATCTGCACGCTGTTCAAATTTTCACCGAAATTGGCATTGAGAAATACTTTGTACACAGTTTCTTTCAAATTGTTTACCTCATTATCAACATCATGCAAGAATACAATGCAAGCTTCTGTGTGGATGAAACTGGATTTGCAGGAGGATTTGAACATGTTCAGGCGGGATGCTTGTTTGGAAATGTTAACAATGAATTTGCGCGGGAAACAATCACATTCGATAAAATCATTTCCATATGTTTGAGCCAGCGTTTGTTGATTTATAGTCTCGTCCTTTAAAATAACCCGAACTGGTTGTAGTTTCGCTGTCTTCCTTTTTGTTGAAATACTGTTGTTGCTCACTGTATTACTATCAAGCTCACGTGATTCGTTGCTATCAATATATACCATACGACCTTTAGAAGACGATAACTCATTTTCTTCTGCTGAAGAAGAGCTAATGTTACTGTTATGTCTCACCTTTCCGCTTGTCAATGTATTTGCTTTATTTGCATGTTTCAAGATATCGTCAAGCGTAAAAATGTAGTCACGTTCTTCATGTCCACAGTCATCTGCCTCATAAACGCCGTCCTCCTCCTCTGAGTCATCGAACGGGTCGTCCATGCACTGCAGAGACTCCTTGATAAGACCGGCCATTCGTTCCCTTCTTTTACAACGTTGACGAGGATCAGGATGTGTATACATGCCAATAGCTTCAGTTTTATGTGTCAAAAAGCTGGTGGCTGGACTCGGGTAAAGGACTTCATAGCGAAGCTTATTTGACTCTACAATTTGTTCCTGCTGTTGTTCTTCATTGTTATCTTCCTGCTGCAAATGACGCCGGCGTCTGTCACGTCGTTTCTTTCTTGACAGAATTGGCGCTCGTTTCAGCACACTATTTGACTGAAAATATCCTCCATTATTTTTAATTTTGAATTTACGGTCAGTGTTTAGATCGCCACCTTTGTAAATTCCTTCTGTTGAGCAGACGTTAAAACAGTTAGCAACTTGATTGATTCTGTGACGTTGAACAAGTTGTATCCCATAATTCCTTTCGCCATCAGAAGAGAGAATAATGTTTTCCAGTATCTCCGGCAGTTCCCATCTTCTCTGCTTGTTCAAAGAATATTCAATTCCATCGACCATACTTGTCCCCTCACCCAAAACGCTTTCTTTTTTGAAAGCGACAATATCATCGAAGCTTTGGCTTTCATTTTCATTATTGACTGTGTGCGAACGTAGAATGTATGCCTGTTTTCTGAAGAAGAAAAAACACCCAAATTATGTACAGCTAGTTATATTGTTATCATCATTTCAAAGCTGGTACATGTATATCAATAATTAAGTATCTGTCTATCATGAAACCTATCAAAGCCAAGCATTTTTTGTTTGTTTTTTTATCCGTGTAGTTACAGGGCACACGTACAGGACATCTTGATATTTCAAGATGGACAACACGCTCTCCCAGTATTTCGGTTGTCACCTATAAATAACAGAAGTGTTTATGCGGACCCTTCCAGCATTCATTTGTTATTATAGGAACTTTCATATATGTACATACATCTTTATATATATAGATATTTTATGTAAAAGACCCCGATGACACCGTTCCATTACGCAAATTTACTTACTTATACTTATGAGAATTTCTTTTTATTTCATGCAACTGCAAATGAATGAAATTATGCATAATTATTAATATTCAGTTCAGTTATTAAATTGCATAAATTTATAACACTTACTTGTACTGTCGATAATATTTCGTATTCCATCTTTTAAACGAGTTTCCAGTCCTCACTCCGTGTTTATCCACTTTATAAACCATTTTTGGACACTAAACGCCCTTGGAGTTTCAGAGATATTTTACTTGTTCAAAGCAGCGTTCTGTTTATATATACCCCCGGTAACAGCTTACTTTCGTTTCGTTGTGCAATGTTTACCTCTAATTTAGGACACAGGTGTCATAAATTGAACATTCTATTGGCTGGTATTTAAAGATACGCGTCATAGACTGAAATTACATTTCGTCATTTTCCGTTAGATTACGGTAAAAGTCGAAATTTAGATAGAGCGCTACTAAATTTGGCATAGGTAGTACGGTACTAAATAGATCGTTAAGAAGCAAACAGTCAATGTTTAGAAAAAAAATCGTTAAATTGACAACTTAGTACTTAAACGGTTTAACTGCTTGGAGTTAACTACACTAGGTAACGAAATTTAATCCTTTAAATATTTTGTTTTCAATGTAACTTTGTGAAGATTCCTGCATATTCGTTAATGTTTCACCTTGTTACATGTATTATCGACGTTTAAAAGTGAACATACCTGGAATTCTGCATGTTTAAATGTTTCAACTAACCAGGATCTTTCAAATCAAGTTTGAAAGACCCTTAACTACATATAATCTAGCTAGGGACTGTTCTCATTCCAATAGTCTTTTTCGACCATACTACACGAGTAGCGACTTATAGCTGTCTGGCATAACAACTATTTTTCTTTCTCAAGTCTTACTTTAATTTTATAACATTTCGTTTTAAAAATGTAACGCACTAAGGGCACTTTGTACATGTATGAGGTTAAAAGGACTCAACTGAAGTTTTCTGCCATGCAGCTTCTGATTTTTTCTCAAGATTTAATAAAGTACCATTCGATGTAATTCTGGGCAATTAACTTAATTTCAAAACATTAGGTCACACAGTCGTTTTTCCAGAATGATTATTTTGAACAGAACAGTTATAAACAATGATCCAAAAATCAAAAGCGTTATTTAAACGTCACAATAATCGTGCCATGACTAGAACAAAATTCAATTTTCAATTAATATCTGAGTATGTTTCTCAATTATCTTTTGCATATCTTTAATTTTAACTTTTGGCGGACATTTACATTCATCCGTTCTATTATCTATATGAAGGGTTTAGGGAGGGCGGACATTCTCCCCACCCCATAAAGATTTTGAAAGGCGGACATCCCCCTTCCACCCACGTGTTAAATTTGACGTATTAATTTATTGAAGTTCAAGAAACATTACGTATATAAAGTCCTGATACATATATATATTCTTTAATTTTAATTAAAATGCAGGACTCTTTCAAAAATTACTGAAAATAGCCTTTTATTACTGAATGAAATGGAGAAAAGCAGAATCCTTCAAGAAAGACCATCACAGCAAAATTAAAAATGTTGAAGTCTCAGTTTGATTGAGCCTGTTCATGGACGTTATTTGAAAGTACAAGTTACCGTCTACGCCCCCTATCACCGGCTGAAGCAGACTCTCAACATTTTCACAGGAAAACGGTGAAATTTTGAATCAAGAAACATCCGCAGATGTGTTCATACGGCAGTTATCAATGTAACACAGTATATTATTAATACGCTCAAAGAACTATGAAAAGTTAGCTTCCTTAAATATGCATGTAAAATCCTCGGCGGGGCTATGTCAGTCAAAACACTATTCACGCCATTCAAAAAGTAGTGATTTTGTCTGATTTAAGTGTTTTCGTCTGGCGCTCTGTGAGCTAAAATATGAAAGCAAGAAAATACGTCAAAGTCACTACTTTGTAGTAATTTTGGGGCTAAGTCAGTGAAAACAATATTCACACAATTTAAAAAGTAGTTATTTTGTCTTATTTAAGGGAAGTGTTTTCATCTGGTGCTCTGCGAAGCTAAAATATGAAAGCACGAAAACGTCAAAGTCACTACTTTGTTGTAATTTTGCCTCGCAGTGGAGACTTTGTCGTATTAATGTGTTTTTGACTTGCAGAGCGAAAAAACGACAACATCATCACTTTGACGCATTTTGTGTTTTCGCCTGGCGCCCGGCGGAGCGGAAAAATACAACATAACACAAATCAGCCACCATACATATTGTAGTACATGCATTTTCTTATGTTCATGATAATTGTTGAATAAGTTCAAGATAATTGTTTTGAAATAATTTACATTTTATGTGTTGCATGTAAATGTGTTTGTTTTATCAATAGATGCACTAATTTTATACATGCATGTTTTGTAGTTCATTAAGACGATAACATTTTATTTTGCAAAATTTTCTTAGGGCATTTTCATGTTTGATTATTTACTTTTGTCCAAAGATATTGTTCCATTTTACATATATTTCGCTTTCCTTTATTTGGTCCTACTGTAACTCCTTATCCCATGTTCAGTCAGCGGATCATTTCAGATGAAAGGGAACAATATGATAAATGTAAGGGGGGCATAATTTTCGAGGGGGGAACAAGAATTAATACCCCCATCCCTTCACTACACACATACACACGAAACCGATTGTGCGCGCAAATGATTTTCCTTGAAAACAGTCATTTTTTAACAGGAATGTTTGTTTGATTTACATCACCTTTCAGTATTTTAAAAATAACCATGTTTAAGAATAAGTCAGTATTTAACTCAAATTGCTCGAGTTTATTAACATTTAGTAAAATGGGACAGCAATCAATTAATGTTTTATTGTCATGAATTTAATCAGTATCAAATAATAATAATAAATAACATTAGTAATATACATGTATAAAGTAACTATGTAACTATATGAAAGAAAGAGAGTAGTCATGAGCGGGAAATTATACACAGAAACATCACATGAAAAATCGACATCTGTGTTTATGCTTTCATAGATTTAATGCATCTTATAAGACTCTGAAATGTTTTACGAGTATGAGACCTTACATCTTTCAATTTTTCTAACAAAACTTTGCCAGTAATTATCTCACTGCTTAAAAATAGTTCGTAAATTACATCTGAAAAGCTTGAAAGTCTGTGAGAGATGTGTTGAAGAACCTGTCTGTAATCTGTCGGAAGTTGTTCAGAGTTCAGCAACACAGAAGTGTTTTCAACAACGTGATTAATTTCTACATAAAGGTCAATAGTATTTTTCAAGAAATACGCTGTTCTTTCAGTCTGCCTAATAAATGTTTTATTTGCAAAGTCAAAGTCGAATGATACTACTTCACCTTGGTTTTCTGCTCGAACAATATAATATTGCAACTTCTTGGCCAAAGGCTTTACGGCTGTCTTTAATTTGTGTAGTCTGCCAGCATGTTGATTGACACGATGTACGAGGGCCATCTTGTACCACTTTTGGCGATGTTTGCGATCAAGAAGGTTTGTAGATGCAAAGGTTTTTTCAGTCGTATTATGGTGGTCTTTATAACCATATTTGTAGCATTCATCTCCGTGTATTCTGTTGGCCCATAGTTGTCCACAACCCCAACAAAAATGAGCTCTACAAACACAAATCATCGATGGGCATCCTCCATTTTTCTCAATGAATCTATGGCAAGATGGACAGTTCTTTCCACGAACAACAATGGGGTTTCTCAATTCTGGTGGTTCAATAGCTATATCGCCTGTTTCTCTAAGTTTCTTATAGTAGGTTTGACGGAATCACAACTTGCTGGCCAATGTGGAGTTTCGAAGGACACTCAAAGCAAACCTTAATTCCACATACACACTGCGAGTTTTTGGCTTCTTCACATATTCCTTTTCAAAAACTCTTGCCGCATTTTTTCTTTGGACACCATTTTGCAGATTTCTGTTGCCCACATTAGTGTCATGACAACATTTCGCCGTGCCTAATGACTTCACGCATATTTATGAGTTTGTTAAAATGGTGCCAGGATCAACAATTTTGCTACAATCAAACTCCTGGACATAGAATGTCTTGAACACCATTATTGACCTGTGTTCGAAGGTAATCCTTCCAACATACGTCGCAGAACCAATGACTGCAAGAAATAAGAAGCTGTCCCTAGATTCACTGTCCCCTAAAGTAGAGTAGCAAATGTACGCAAAATGCGATACCCTTAAGGAGAAGTGACTTGCTGATTTGTCTTCTGAACAGTGCACGAACCGAGGTATGAATTCAAAACCCATGTCCACAGCGTCGTGTGAAGATGGAGTACGAACAAAAAAGATCAAATAGAAATGTGTTGTTTGGTGATATGATTCAACTTTCCAATTTGCACATTCTTCTACAGAAGACATCCTCTTAACTGTGTAATTGTCACTATATTGAACCATCTCCCGGTGTTTGAATTCCTATAGATTCAACGGGTAAGAGTTCTTATCAATTATGGAAGCAAAATAATGTGGGTTCGAATATTCAACAATTGAATCTTCTCACTGTGGTGGGTCAAGTGTAATCAAAATTGTTTCTTCATACTTGCCACCGACATCGGTCCTTCATAAATTAATTCACGAGAGACAGGTACTGGCAGATTTGAGGAAATAACTTTTGTGTACCACTATGTTCTCTATTCAAATTGTTTTTACGTCTCATTATTCTAACAATCCATGTCTAGATGCAATAGATACAATGCAAGCTTGCAACTTTGCGTAGCGGCAATGAACTGGCGGGTCATTCTCAGCAGGAATGGATATTAGAACATGTTTCAGTGCGGTGACATCACATATATATATATATCTATATATCCGGTGATATATATACACACATACTACAAATCATTTCCATATTGTATTCTATATAGCCTAGCGTTTTAGTTGTATAGCAAATATAGTCTCTGTCCTTTTAATAAGTTCCCGTATACTGTTGTGGTTTCGCTTGTCTTTCCATTTTTTTGTTGAAATTACTGTTGTTGCTCCTGTGTACTAACCTATATCAAGGTCTGCAACAGTATAGTACTGTTGCCTAATCAAAGCATATAGGTCAGAAAGGCTTATACCATGTCTTATACACTTGATTAAGACATTAACTCATTATTTTCGGTCTGAGACGACACTAGAAATCGATGCTCTCAGTGTTTATCTACACCCTTTCCATTGCTGTGCTAATTTATATGACTTTACATTTGCATGTATTTCACCACAGAAATATCGACAAGCAAAAATGTTAGTCACCGTTCTTACAATTCTGTCCACAGTCAATCATAGGCCGTACGATTAAACGCTCGTCCTTATCGCTCTTTCTGAAGTCAGTATCAGATACGTGGTTACCTCCATCGACTACATGCTAGTGAAGAACTTCTCTTGTTATAGACGAGAGCACGAGGCAAAGTATCCCTATCTATATCTACAACGTCCTTACAACACCCCGGCACCCCCACAGAAGAAGTGAAACCAAATATAACATGCCGAATAGCTTCAGCTAAATTTATATGAAGTGTAGTCAAAAAACAATGTCTAAGGACGTGACATGAGACTACGAGTGGTGATAGAAGAGATATCATATATGTCCAGAGGCTATACTTCATCTTCGTGAGCGAGATCCTGTCTGTTGTTCTTCTATTGTTACTCCCTGCTGCCAATGACGCCCGGTCACGTGCGTGAATTACATATGACTTGACAGAATTTGCGCTCCGGGCAGCACACGGCATATTTGACTGGCATAATATCCTTCCAGTAAAAATATTTTTAAGTTCTCACTGATTAACTCCGTGCTCAGTGTTCTCTACGCAATTCGCCTGACTGTTACCCGAATATTCCTCTGCTGTTCGCGAGTCTACACGGTCTAAAACATCCATTCCGTCAGTACGCACAGCTTTGCACTCTTGTCGACCGGCCGACATTGATCATATTGGCTAGTCTCATCAACTTGCGCGTATTCGCGTCAGGAAGAGGAGAATTAATGTTTTCATATATCTCAGCAACTACCTGTCATGTTCCCGATCACTCTCTGGCGTTGTATCATTCAAACATATATATACAAATTCTCCATCATCTGAGCCGATGACTTGTCACCCTTCAACACCCACACAACTGCCATTTCTTGAGGTGTGTTTTACGACGACTGCACAAGAAAAATGATCATCGAAGCTTTCGGTACTTCATTTCATCCTTTGACTACTTAGTGCGAACGATTTGAATTATCTGAATGTCTAATTTTCGCTCCGCGTATAGAATAGGGAGTAGAATAATATCATCTCTCCTAATCCATTTTATGGTTTACAGCTAGTATATATTTGTTATACAACATTCTATGTGTGATCACAATTGTAAGTGTACATTCCCAATGGTATAATCTCAAATAAGATTACATGTATTCTGCTGCTATACTAATCAAAACATTCAAACTTCACTATAGGTTGTATTTTCTATGATATCTGCGTTACCTACAGAAAGTGTAATGATGCTAGAATTGCATAAATGTTCACCATAAGGGATCATAAAACTCTACCCTTTCATAAAGTTATAACATTACTAAGTTTATGCCCAGTAAGTTAATTTCTTATTCTGTTTATAGCGTGAGTACTCTCAATATGGAATACATCCTATATGAGTGCTCCCGTAAAGCTGCGAACATACAACGCGTCCCACAAGGATGGAACTAACCAAAGTGATGGAGAGGAACTGATCCAGTCATGAGAGTCGACCTATAGCATAAATGTGTGTCCTAAGTGTGTCTTGTGAGTATAAATTTACTATTGTCTTTGTTAGTGTTTGCTTAATTTGAAGTGAAACTGGTTTAAATATTCTCGAGGATAGATGAACTTACATAAGTTCGTTTCGTTGCCCTATAGTACTTTGGTCATTTCCTTGATTACGGCTCACGTTTTTGCTTATTTATTTTCATACTGCATTTGTTATATTCCGCGTGCCTGCTGTTTGATACTTCAATAAAGTATTATAACACCTTATTTTTATGCTAGTTGGAATCTGTTGATTCGTAATTGCATTTGGAGAGTCATCTATCAATATAACATCCTTAGGTTTCGCGCGCAATTCCTAATTAGTAGTCTGGGCACGCCTAGACTTAAATTAGTCGAACTATGTTGTTAGCACTGGTATTGTACAACTATGTCGTGTTACTAGCGTTGTTTCCATCACTTTTTTATGCAAAGAACTGGTATTAGCTGTATAACCTACCCTATATCATTGTATATGTATTATTCACTCTCTTAGTTATTATGTACATATGCCTTTTAATTTAATTTATTTTATCCATTTCATATTGCCATATGTATCATACTTAAATTTCTAGATTACAGTCATTTATTACTTTTAGGAACTGTAATTACCTTTTATACAATATGTACTATGCATGTCATCAATCTATGCCTTAATTTACCATCTTATTGTAAAGTTCTTCTTAACCTTGATACTCTTATTTCATGCTTAAAGCTGCTAATAGTTTTTATATGTTAGTAAATATGTTTTATGCCTTTGTTATTGTCGGTAAATAGCTTATTAGCTAATGTTTATTGTAATATGTAAACCGACTTAAAATAAAGTTTCTTGTATCTTGTATCTTGTATCATGAAACATATCAAAGCCAAGCATTGTTTTGTTACATTTTGTTCCGTGTAGTTATTGGACACACGTACAGGACATCGTGATATTTCAAGATGGACAACACGGTCTCTTTCACCTATAAATAACAGAAGATTTTATGTGGACCCTTCCAGCATTCATTTGTTATAATAGGATCTTTCATATGTGTACATACATCTTTATATATAGATATTCTATTTACAAGACCCCGATGACACCGTTCCACAATTACGCAGATCTACCTACTTATGCGGATTTTTCTATTTCTTGCAACTTTTAAAAACTTGCAAATGAATGAAATTATTCATATTAATTTTAAGTTGCACTTACTTGTACTGTCGATAATATCTCGTATTCCATCTTTTAAACGAGTTCCCAGTCCTCACTCCGTGTTTATCCACTTTATAAACCATTTTTGGACACTAAACGCCCTTGGGATTTCAGAGATATTTTACTTGTTCAAAGCAGCGTTCTGTTTATATACCCCGGCGACAGCTTACTTTCGTTTTGTTGTGCAATGTTCGTTGTGCAATGTTTACTTCTTATTTAGGACACATATGTCATAAATTGAACATTCTATTGGCTGTTATTTAAAGATACGCGTCATAGACTGAAAATACATTTCGTCATTTTCCGTTAAATTACGGTAAAAGTCGAAATTTAGATAGAGCGTAACTAAATTTAGTATAGGTAGTACGGTACTAAATAGATCGTTAAGAAACAAACGTAAAAAAATCGTTAAATTGACACCTTAGTACATAAACGGTTTAACTGCTTATGTAATTCAATTGGAGTTAATGTGTCACTACACAAAGTAACGAAATAATCCTTTAAATATTTTGTTTTCAATGAAACTTTGTGAAGATTCCTGCATATATTCGATCGTTTATGTTTGACATTGATATCATCGAAGTTTTTAAAAGTGAACATACCTTTTTTTTACCTCAATTATCTTTTGTAAGTCTATGGGGGACATTTACCACCATCCGTTCTATTATCTATATGAAGGGTTTAGGGAGGGCGGACATTCTCCCCATCCCATAAAGATTTTGAAGGGCGGACATGCCCCTTCCACCAATGCACGTGTTAAATTTGACGTATTAATTTATTGAAGTTCAAGCAAAAACACAGCTCGTTGGTATGATTTCCCAGATTTTCTATTGCTTTATATTTCGTTTTCTTTTACAGCAAACTTTTATTTTGCAGCAT